CAGGTTGTAGATAATCTCCTCGGCATAGAAGGCAGTCATCTTCAGGCTTCAGGCAAAAGTCCTGGAGAGAGCTGCATCGAAATTGCACAATGCAGAGGTTTTCAACCTTTTTGAGTCCACGGCTCCCTTGACCAGCCTTCTTTCTGTGGCCCCCCTGTGGGGCTCAGGAGCCCAGTCATGCCACCCCTTGCCTGCAGAGCCGGCAGCCCCTCACCCATTTTCAAACACCCTCCTTTGTGGAGTGTTTCCTAAGCCTCCTCTCCCCTCTTCTTGGGAGTCCTCTGGGCAGCCGCTGGTCTCTCCAGCCCCTGTGCCCCATAGAGAGGTGCCTCCTCACTCTGCCCCACAGGGGCCTGGGACTTGTCTGTCCATTCCCAACAGCAAGGGCTGATGGACTGGCCATCTGGACTCCCTTGCCCACTTGCTTGCTTACTCTGAAGCTGCCTCAACTCCTGGCAATCAGCCCCCCTGGCCAGCCCCAGAGGCCCCATTCAACTGGGGAGCTTGTAGCCAGGGCTGCTGCAAACAACAGCCACACAAGCCTTTGGGAGGCAGAGACACAAGAGGGCATCAGAGGAGGGAGGGAAGGAAAGAGGGACAGAGGCCAGGGTTGCCAGCGGCACCCCTGACCATCATTCAAGGCACCCCAGGGTGCCATGACACACCGGCTGAAAACCCCTGGCACAAGGCATTAGTCAAGGCACAAAGTGGGTAAGGATCAGTTTAGGAGGAGCCTAGCACTGCCTGCTAAAGTGAAAAACGACTCTGGATGAGGTACAAGGAGGCCTTTCCTTGTACAGCAAAACTAAATTGGGTTGAGTAAGTGTTTCCACTTATGGTTGGATGAAGAGATGGTGAGGTGTTAGGGTGGCAGAAGACAGTTGGCCAGAGGATGAAACATCCAAGATGAGGTACCGTATTTTTCTGTGTATAAGATGCCCCTGTGGATAAGATGCCCCCTATTGTTTGGGACTCAAAATTAAGAAAATGCACTATCCGTGTATAAGACGACCCCTTATTTTAAACTTCAAAAATTTAGGAAAAAATATAGTCTTATACATGGAAAAATACGGTATATTCTTTTTCCTATATGGGGAGTGTGTCCTAATGGAAAGCTCTTGCAGACTCCTTGAACTCTGTACTGCAATGCAGCACTGAATAATGTCTGACCAACTGGGAATATAAGTGTGAAGGCACCATACTTGAAGCCCTAAGGGGAAATTTCTAGCAGGGGAGGAACCAAACCCCCAGGAGGCAGGACTACTGAATCTTACAAATATGCTCTCTTGGCAGCCAGACTTTTAGACAACAACAATGGTTTGGGATTCATTTTCAGGAAGTGATTGTTAGCGCTTGAGATCCAGAAAACTGAGGGGCACAAATCTATGGTGTAACTCAATTTGGAGTACAGTGGTACCTCAGGTTACATACGCTTCAGGTTACATACGCTTCAGGTTACAAACTCTGCTAACCCAGAAATAGTACCTCTGGTTAAGAACTTTGCTTCAGGATGAGAACAGATATCGTGCTCCGGCGGCGCAGCAGCAGCGGGAGGCCCCATTAGCTAAACTGGTGCTTCAGGTTAAGAACAGTTTCAGGTTAAGAACAGACCTCCAGAACGAATTAAGTTCTTAACCCGAGGTACCACTGTACTGCGTACAGTTCTGGATATTTTCAAATTGTACAATATCCGAAAAGGACTAAGTTTTGGGGCGTCTAGTTGGACCCTGGGCGAAGAGGATGCTGGATTAGGCGGGTCATTGGCCTGATCCAGTGGGGTCTCCTTAGGTTCTTTTGAGTAGATGATGAACCTGGGACAGTTGTCCTGCCCCTCCCACCCCCTTACACTGATGCTCCCCACAACCTCTCTTCGTAGGTGTCCTCCCTCTCCACTAACTGTTTCCTATCCCCCCCATATCATTTTTGGTAAATCTTCCAAAACATTTACCACCATATACTTTTTTTTAAACACTAACCGTTTCCGAGCAGATTTGAACAAGCTGGACACCCCCACCCCCCCAGCTCAGGTCGCAGGTGGCAGTTGGGATTCTGAAGGGAGGGAGGAGGGCCCCCCAGGTGTGCGCAGAGGCTCCGCCCACTGGTCGCATGCTTCTCCCAGGAGGGAGGGGCTCCAAACTCATCCTCCCCTTGCCCCCGAGGCGGGCAGTTTTCTTGAGCTGGTCCACAGCCACCCCTGTGAGGGAGGACAGCAGCTCTCTTCCTTCCCTTATGGTGGAAACATCAATTCCTATCATATCCATCCTATATTAACTCTCGAAGATGGACAGGCTGCCCAGAGGAGGAGAAAGAGACCCCTCCCCACGTGCTCAGATTAATGGCTTGAACTCAAACGGGTAACCAGACCTCTGAGCCCAGACTTCCTATGCAGACAAGGTCTCACTGTGGCCACAATTGTGCTGCAGCATCCCACACTTGCTACAGCTTCTGGATCAAACACGAGGGAAGCTCCACATAGAGCGCATGGCAGCAACTCAGTCCTGAAGTCCTCAGTGCATGAACCACCGTGGCAAGGCTTCCCTGGTCCAGGAATGGCTGTTGGACCAATCGTGGCTGGTCAAAGGCCACCTGAACGCAAAAGGTTTAAGACTCGGTAGAGGAGATGAGTTGCAGACCCCATGTGTCCCCGTTCAGCTGAACTCTCTTAGACGCCCACCTGAGATCTTCCCACTCGGCATCCTTTCCCAGGACACTCCATTCCATTCCTCCTCCCACCCACTTTTCCATTTCTTCCCCAGCAGCGACTCAGCCTTCCTGGGCTGCTGGGCTTTGGGCTGGTTATAGTCTCCCCAGGGGAAATATTTTTCCTGAAAGGTGGTGGGATGTGTACGTGTTGTGCTTCTTCAAACCTGGGGGTTCCTGCTACCCACCCAAATCTGCTAATATTTCTGCTGTTAGCTAGATAGGGATTGGCATTCACAGAACAAGCTCTCTCTCTCTCTCTCTCTGTGTGTGTACAATCCCTTCTGCTTTCTGTCTTATTCAATAATATACTGTAATTTCAAAACATACCACAGATTGATTGCTCAAATGGACCTGTTTCCTCCTTTTTGGCTTTGCTAATCTGCAGCCACTTTTGTTAAAATAGATATTGATAAGTAAAATGATATGCTGTTTCTGTGACTGACCCATTCTGTGACTGGCCCATTAAAAGAATGGGCGCGTTCCTTTCTTGTACTGCAGGCCGATATGGGAACAGGATGTGCAATTTATGAAATTTATGACTTGCTTGCTTGGAAATCAGACCCTCCAAGTGTCCTTATTTTCCAGGGACATCCCTGATTTAGAGAAGCCATCCCAGTTTCTGATTTGATCCGAGAATGTCTCATTTTTCCTTAGGACGTCCCTATTTTCACTGGAGAAATGTTGGAGGGTATGGAGTTACCTGACCCCCGAGCCATCTGAGGGCAATCCTGTATAGGGAAGGTTGTTTTTTAAATTTTTAATGTTTTATTATGTTTTTAATATTTGCTGGAAGTTGCCCAGTTTGGCCACCTGACAGTTCTGGATTGCAGTGAGTGGCCCATCCTGATCTGGGGCTGTCTCGACCCAACTTGACCCCAGCCCAGATCCCTCTGAACTGGCTCAGGATTTGGGCTGATGGCTGGCTGTTGAAGGACCCTGTGTGAGAGGCAGGGAAGTAAGGATCTTCCAAGGTGGGAAGCTGGGAGAAGAAAGAGAAGCTCCCAGGTGAGAGTTGGGAGGCTCCACCCCCTTCTGTGTGGGATAAGAGTTAAGATCTACCTGTCAAAGAGGACTTTGCACCTCTCTATCTCTTCTTCTTTAGATCAGTTTGCTTTTCAATTAAATGTAATATGAAAAGTCTGAATAAAACCTTAATTATAAAATACAGGGGAAAGGATTTGGGCTTCATCTGAATGGGTTGCACAGCTCTGCTACCCAGCATGTCCTCCTGGCCCTACTAAAATATCGTGCTGCCTCAGGTGTGGTGGAGACACTCTCTCAGCAGTCAGGCTGGGTTAAGGTCCAACTGCTGGTCCAACTTCTGTATGAGGAACGGATGCCATCTTGTAATTCGCCTCAGGTAGCAAAATGTCTTGCACAGGCCCTGCTCAGGAGACACTGATGAGACCATTCTTAAAGAACAGAGTAGCTTTTATTTAGAGGCTGTTTCACGGCACAGCTGCAGGAAGCAGGCAAGGAACAGTAAAACATGACTCCCCAAACATGGGAGAAATCAGTGGGCAGTTGTGGTTACAGCGTGCAGGGTTCAAAATGCAAAGTGCACAAAACACAGTCAAGTTTCTCAGCAGTCTCCCAGTGCAGGGAAAGAGGCAGGATCTGGTCTCATCTTCTTGTCAGCCAGCAGAGGTGATCTGGTCATGCCCTAGTCGCCTGAGGGTGAATATGGCTTCTAGGCATGGATCCTTCAGACTGGATTTCTGCTTCAGCTCCAGGAATTCCTTGGCAGGGAGCCTCTTGGCACTACTGGTACAAAGAGCAATAGAATATTCTCCCCCAAAATGCAGATATATCCAGGGTTAAATGTTTTCAAAAAGAAATTATATCCTACTGGATCTTCAAAAAGACATCTAGATGGCTACCAATAAGAAAATGAAAGAAAAAATATTACAAGTAATCACACACACAGTGATTCCAATCAGTTGCCAGTTGAAAATATACTCTGGAAACCAAGCCTTATGAGGAACGGTTGAGGGAGCTGGGTATGTTTAACCTGGAGAAGAGGAGACTAAGAGGAGACATGAGAAACATCTTCATATCTGAGGGGCTCCAGAGGGTAGGAACCAGACCCATGGATTCAAGTTACCAGAAAGGAGCTCTGACTAAATATTAGGAAGAACTTTCCGATGGTAAGAGTAGTTTGACTGTGGAAGAGACTGCCTCTGAAGGTTGTGGACTCTCCTTCATTGAAGGTTTTTAAGCAGAGGTTGGGTGGCCATCTGTCATGGATACTTATCCATGACAGATGGCCACACAACCTCTGCTTAAAAACCTTCAATGAAGGAGAGTTCCTGCATTGCAGGCGTTGGACTAGATGACCCTCAGGGTCTCTTCCAACTCTCCAATTCTAAGATTCTATGGACAAGGAAGAATACAGAATAAGCAATGCCTCAGAATGGGAGAGAGATCAATCAGGCAGGTCAAAAGCTTGCTAGGACAAAGGGGCCATAAGCAGCTCCTGTCAAGAGCATTCCTGCAACACCCCAAGTTTCCAATCACGCTCCAGGCACATTCATGGACACGTTCTTATTCTGGGGTGGTTAGAAGCAGCACTTCCATATGAGGCCCCATTCACTTTCCCTATTATTATTATTATTATTATTATTATTATTATTATTATTATTGGCAGTCATTGGAGATAATAGAAATCCCTGGAGAGAACAGCATTCCACCCAGCACCAGTTAGACAATAAGGTGGTAGGAACAATGACTGGGAAGCATTTTGTCTGCAGCAACAAAGGGCTCGTTCACACTTCTGTCTGTTCCGTGCCTGGGAAGCATGGTTCCCAGCAGTTTTCCTCTCGTCTCACACTTTCCAGGCACAGCTCCAAGCAATTTTGTCTTTGCCCCACTGCTTACCCCCAGCCTGCTCTTTAGCGCTAAATCAGAACAAATGGCATTCCACGGAAAACCCAATTGCTGTTAGTTCTGATTCAGCACTAAAGGTTTCCCCGAGCGAAACTGGCCGGGCAAATGAAGAAGTGGATAAGCTCACCTCACGACAGGTACAAATGTTTCCATAGCCACCTTCACCCAAGTATGCACAGAGAGCAAGAGACTCTGGTCTGAATTACACTCACAGAACCTGAGCTCTCTGCTGATAGCCAAAAGCAAACAAAGGGTGCCTGAAAAGCTATATATGATCCCCTTTAAACCAGTTTACAACAACTCCCCCCCATTTCCTAAGTTTGCCTCCTAGAGAGGACTTTTTTTCTTCGATTTGAACATACAGCTTCTGCTCTCCAGGCAGCAGAGGCTCCTTGTTGGCAATTTTCTGTATTAACTCAGCTACTTTCCTCACTTCCTTCAGGGATCGGATTCGCTCCTGATATCCAGGCTTCAGCTCCTGTTCTTCGGACATGATGAGCAGATCAATGTACTCTGGGGTAGAGAGTGGGTTGGGCTTCAGTGCAATCGCCTGAAGGCGCTGGAGGCTTTGAGATGATTTCTTGATGAGCTCTTCTAAGATGTGTTTCACTTCTTCATAGTCCTCATTAAGATTTTCAAGCAATTTCTCTGTGGTCATCAGCTCACCAGAGGCACATTCATACTTTTGCTTCAGTTCTTCATAGGTCCTGCTCTCTTTTCTTGTTATATATTCAAATTTGTATTTCTGATTGTAGTGCACATTCCACACACACTGGCCCGGACAGACTGTGCATCTTCCTGTGCTGCTATTGATAGCTGCACAACCACGCTTATCTTCATCTCTAGGAATTCCACAAGGATAGTGACAGGTGAAGTGACAATTCATGCAATTAGTTATGTATTCTCCCGTGCCAGATATATCCGTCTTCACTGGTACAGTTACCTCTACCTCATATGTGAAGTTTCTGTTTGCCGCCATGTCAACCTTATGCTTGTCCAGGGCTTCCTGCGTCTTCCTCAGTTCTTCCAGCTTGGCCAGTCCAACTTTGATTTGGGGCTGCAACCCTTCAATAGCAGCTTCAAGCTCTTTTCGCTCCCTGAGCACTTCCTTTGTCAATGTTAAGCTCTTCGTTTCTAGCGTGTGGGATGAATCAAAGAAGGTCTTCATGCTCATGGTGCCCATTTTCCAAAACATTTCATCAAAATTGAAGTTGCCTCCGGGCTCCACTGGATTGTTGGCAAACAGTGCTGAATTGTTGAATTTGAAGTGCACAGGGGTGCCCTTGGCATCCTTGGCGCATGGTACATTGGCTTCCTTAATGGCCTCGAGAACAGGAGGGGTCTGTCCATCTGCAAATGTGACCAGGACTTGGATGTTGTCCTTTATATCTTTGCCAAAGATGGAGAGCACAGAGTCAAAGACGTATTTCTGGGCATGAGTTAAACGAGCAAAAGAAGCCTGGACGACAATACAGATGGCGTCTATATGATCAGTGCCCCCTGGGGAGGAGAAAAACTCCCGGATCTGCTTTGTTATCAACTTGTCATGCTCTATTCCTCTTGTGTCTCCAAATCCTGGAGTGTCAATAATGGTGAGGGAATAGGGGACTTGGAAACCCTTGCAGTGGTGGACAACGTAGGCAGTCACTTCTGATGTTTGGCTTTGAGCTTGGCTTCTGTTGGTATTTTCATGAATAAGTTTGAATCGGAATTTATCTCCCCATTGCACCCCCAGGATGTAGTTGATCATTCCATTGATGAGAGTGGTTTTCCCTGACCCTGTTGCTCCCATCACCATAATCACTTTGTTGGGGACCTGAATGTTCTCTTTCCCTAGCTGGTATGTTAGACAGGATCCAGAGACATCCTGTATGGACTCTAGTGGCAGAGCATACACTGCTGGTGGCCCGTCCTCCACGCGGGTGCTGTCTTGGAGGTATTTACAAGCTATTCTCTTCTCGTCTCCTTCCAATGATGTGGAAACCTCAATCTCTTTGCTGGGCCCACTCTCAGCCCCACCGGCACACATGGCTGAGACTCTGAATCTGTAGGGTGTCTGGGGCTTCAGACCATCAATCTCACAGAACTCTGTTTTCTTCCCTGTTCTTTTTTCAGCCCATTCATCTTTGTCCTTGCTTTTTGCCTCTCCAGCCTCTTCACTGTAGTCCACTTTGTATTCCTTTATAACAGCTCCCTGGCCAATGACCTTTGGGCTCTCCCAGGCTATACTGATTTTGGAAGACTGTGCGAATATCTCTCTCAGTTCCCCAGGAGGGCTGGTAGGAAGTGTCTGTACAGATTTACTCACGTCGCTGGTCTCACTAAGTCCTGGTTTGCTCCTAGCGGTGTATCGAAACTGGTATTCTGTGTTTGCACTCAACCCTCTCACTTGGAATGTCTCCTGACTGTCCTCAGTATTCACAATCTTCCAATTTTCTTCTTCTGCAATCTTGTACTCTACTTGATAGCTGGAGATTGAAGCCCTCCCATACTCAGCTGGTTGAAATGTCAGTTGCACACTCTCATGTCCAATTCGGCCAATCAGTGGAGGGAGAGGTTTTGAGGGCAGCTTGAAGTTGCTGCTGAACATCTCCCCATCTTCATAGAGGTAAATGGAAGCACCTGGGTTGTCCTGATCTGGGACAGAAGCCACAAGGAACTGGGTTTTCTCATTTGATTTATTGACCCGGGCAAAATCTGTAATGGATTTGGCAGCTTTACGAGCATTCTGTTTTCTCTCTTTGTGCTCAAACCAGGCTTTACTGTTCTTGGATGTCCACTGGTGGCCACTGGTGGCCACTGGATGGCCACTGGTGGAATTTGCTGTTTCCTGAAAAAAATCTTTCTGAAGCCAGTCTTGTAAGGTGGCTAAAAATGGTTCCTCATCATGTAAAGAAGTGAAGGTAAATGAGACAACAAACTCATTCACAGTGTTTAGCACGATTTCTTCCAGTTTGTTCTGGGAAGAGATTACTTCCATTCCACTTAGGATTCTAAGGTAAGAATTCACCAAATTAATCTCTCGTTCCTTGGCATCCAAAAACTCACTGAGTCTTTGGCTATTGAAGGGAGACTGGTTAATGGACATTAAAATGTCCACCAGAACACTTTCCTCTTTCCCCCCTCCCCGGATCAAAGGCAGGATTCCTGCCAGGTGTTTCTGGAAAGTCTGCCTGTGCTGCTTGCACAGATCCTTGAATCTATTGATTTTCATCTTTAATTCTGGGAAGTTTTCAGCAACAGGATTCATAGCCAGATCATTGCATCGCATGTTGATTTCATTCAGTTTCTCTAAGACAGTTTGAGCATCAAAGATCAGTGCTAAGCTGATCTCACGCACCATCTTAGCTGCTCTGGAATCTAGCTTGGTCAGTGGGTACAGCCAAACTCTGACAGGCACAGCCTTCTCTCCATCCTCCCCGAGCTTTTGGGGCAGATCGCTGTAGACTTTCATGGCATCTTGAAAAGTCACCGGATTACTTTCCAAAGAAAAATCCCCATAGAACTTGCAGCTGAAATTCTCCGTTTGGGCTTTCTCCTTCTCCTCCATCTGGACAGATGCTTCCCCTTTGATAGAGACTTCAATCAAGTTGATCGCAGCGTGGAGGCTTCCTTGTATATCTTGCACAGACTCAGAAGAAGAGACATTTCGGTCAAACACAAAGAAAGCCTGGGCTCCATACAAGATGGCAGTGACAACATGGGTGGCTGTGCCATGCTCAAAAACAGCTGGATAAGTGACATTTTGGATTCCCAAATGGCTCATGGTCAGCTGTGAATACTTGGTGGTAGTTTTGTACTGCAGAGTGACTCTGGCCTGTTTCGTGGACTTCTTGGTGTCTTGAAGGAATTTGCCTGATCCACCCACTTCAACCAATCCCCCAAAAAACTGGCCTTGAGTGATGCTGAGACATTGAGGGCAGAGGCCTTATCATCGATGGAGTCAGATGCAATGATTTCATATTCAGCCTTGGGTTGCGGTTTGATACACAAGTCCTTCTGAAGTGAGTCCTGGTCCCAAAGGGTGATTCCTGGGATAAAGCAGAGAAATATGCAAGGCTTGAGTATGTTCACAGAAATGTAGAACACAATTAGCCTAATGCTTAAGGGTGTACACAGAAACAAGGAGTTAAAATAGACCTATCATTGCCCACAATGTCTGCGCTCATGAATTTTGTCCCACTGTCATCCCCAACGAAAGAGGTTTGTGCAGTTTTGTAAAACTTTGCAAAAGGCAGAGAAAATATTTGACCAGATATGATAGTGGAACAAATGTGAGCATTTCATGAGCTTCTGTTGTACAGTCCTCAGAAAGGGGGTGGGCACAACTCAGCAGCAGGGATAAGATTCAGTCACCACCATTTAGGGCTGTGATCATGTCCTGATTGAGGCCCTAGAGAGCTGGTGCTAGTTGTTGACTGGCACAGAAAAAGTGGGTATACATAAGGAGAAATCCCTGGGGGCCAAGATCCAAGTTGGGGAAAACACTTTGGTGAGAGAACCCCAGCAGATTTAAAATCACAAAATATGCAGCAAAGCAAAGTGTGAAAATTTAGGCTGTCAGACCTTTAAAATATGTGCTTGTGAGTTCCTTCCAAAATAGTCCCCCCCCCCCCCGGCATAGAAAAAGACCACATGTTTGGTAAGTTCGTAATGGTTTACTTAAAAACTCTCCAAAGGTCAGATTCATGTCATTTTCCGCACAGCAGTCAGACAACACAGGGAGTAAAACTTGGCTTAGTGAAAGTTGTTAAATTATTGGTACAGGAACACCACAATGGATTACAGTCCCTCCAGGTGTCCCTATTTTCCAGGGACAGTCTTTGATTTATAGAAGCCATCCTGGTTTATGATTTAATCCTGGAATGTTCCGCTGTCCCTTAGGCTTAGGAGATCCCTATTTTCATCAGAGAAATGTTGGAGGGTATGGAGTTATGTGATCCCTGAGCCAAGGAGAAAAGTAACTGTACAACCTATAGAAGACATCTGAAGGCAGCCCTGTATAGGGAAGTTTTTTTATGTTTAATGTGGTATTTTTCAATTAAAAAAGATGCCAGAACTCTCCATGAATGCTTCCCTCGTTCTCTTATAATGCAATGGTGACCACCTGACAGGTGCCGGAACTGAGTTCTGGCAGGTTCTGGCTGAAAAAATGTCCTGTTCTTTTACCTACAGTAATAATTGTGGAAAGATGTATTCTTAGTGGCCTGCACAGGCCTGGTGGACTAGAAAGGTTTACAGCAAGCTTTAAAAAATTGAAACAGAGGACACCCGCTGAATCTTTATTGGCAGATGGTGATGATGATGATGATGATGATTGGAACAAGGTTAAGGAGCATAGACGCTATCACGGGCAAGAAGACTTCTTTTTAATAAGTGGAAGTCTTGTCCAAATGAAGAGAACATAAAGGAACACAAGCTTTGGCCAAAGAAGTGGAAGCAGATTGTAAGGGATGTTGAAAATGAATTTGAGGAGCACATTTAGCACTGAAACTGCACTGTTTGGGCTGACTGTTAATCTTGATATGAATAATGTTTCCCTTTTCAGTATAAGCTCTTCCTTGCACCAACTCTACCTGGGATGAGGGCATCTTTACGACAGTCGTACAGCATCCCCAGCTGGAATGGGCGGCCCAGGGCTGGTATTTCAACCGTGTCGTCTGATCTGTCCATGGCTCTGGTCCAGGTTGCTCTCCTGCCTTCACCTCCCTGCAAGAAACGAGATGTGAAGGACTCTGGAAAGATTATTCAGCATGCAAAGTGTGTGGGGAAAAGAGGAAGATTAGTACTACCATCCAAAGAGGGATGCTAACATGCCGTCAAGGCCCCCAAAAAAGGGAGGGGGGAATGTCACATCATTGGGGGGGGGGTTAGACGTTTGTATGCAATAGTTGCACATGTTCAAGAAAGCTTGTGCAACTGATCATTTTCTTGCTTCCCTCCCATTCACAGTCCCTTGTAGCAACTGAAAACTCTATCCTGTGATCCCTGCACCCTGAACAAAGCGGACTGTGTCACACAGAATTGCAGTGGGAGGGGAAATCACCCTGAAACTGGGAAAAGGGATCATGTGCCAATGGGGGCTCTGCTTGGACAGGATTCCTAGACCCAATGTCAGGGGAATCCCACTGCAGCCCTGTATGGCAGACACTACACTATCCTGGCCCTCTGGAAAGGGTTTGGGGGGGCACAAGGGGTCACAGGAGCTGGAAGGGAAGAGCAATATTTTCCAGGAACAACCACTGGGTGCTTCCTACACTGAATTTCCGTTTGGCTGAGAATTGTGCCTGCTGAGAACATTTTGGATGGTAGAGAAATATTCTACCACCACCAGTTTTAAACCCCAACTATCTGGCACAGTATTCAAGGAGGCTATCAAAGTGGGGAACTCATACATGCAGCCAGCCAAATCACATAACAACAATAATTATGGCAGGAATCATGAATGATGCTGCCATAAATAACAGCGAGATACACAAAGTAGTATTTGGCAGAAACAAACTGCAGTGGAAGCAGCGCTGATCGTGATGAATACAAGCTGAAATGGAAGTTGCTGCTCTCTTATATTACTCCTTGTGCTGCACCAAGAAGTTCATGGCACAATGGGAGTCAAATAACACGGTAAAGGGATGGTATCTGCAATATACAAAATACTACTCCAAAATCTCACAAACTCCCTAGATACAATCAAAAAACAATGGGAGGATGACATAGACTATGAGATTAACCCCACTCAATGGACCAGAATGTGGTCTAAACCCCCCTTAAAATCCATATCAAAAAGAAAAGAAAAAAGAACTCACTCTGAAAATCACCTGCAGGTGGTACCTAACTCCAAGAAAACTAGCGCTAATATGCCCAGGAACCTCACCAAAATGCTGGAGAGGGTCACCTCCACAGGCACATATCTCCACATGTGGTTGGAGTGTCCCAAAATCCAACTATCCTGGACAAACAGCCATACGATAAATATGTAAAATAACCAAGCAAGTATTAGACATCACCCCAGAATTGGCCCTACTAAACAGCTTCCAAGACAAGAATGCCCACTTACACCACAAAGAACTCATAACGCACCTACTCTCAGCAGCCAGAAACATAATAACCAGACACTGGAGAGACCTGTCAGGAGTAAGCATGGACCAAGGTACCAAATAGTATGGGAAACTAGAAAAATTTGCCAATAAACTGAAACTGACAGGGGGACAAATAGAAGAAGACGCCTTCACCCCGGTATGGCTCCCCTTTATCACATACACAGCCCAACAAGACAATGACAAAAATCCACTGACAGCATACAAATCAATATGGCTAACCTGATCCAAAACCCCCACCCACCCCACTCACACGTGAAAACAAAGACCACCACAGCCAACCACAAACAAACAACCACACCTTGGCCAACCCCAACCTCTCTCACTACCAAAGGAACACAAGTGAATAGCAGAGAACCTGCACAAGCAACGCTGACACAAAACCCCACATATATTATATAAAATAGAAACATCACCACCCCACCCCCACTCACCTTTCCCCCCTCAGCCTCTTTCCTCCTATTCTTCCTAATCTCTCAACAAATGAAACCGATTTGTAAAAAGAAAAATGTTACATGGGAAAAAATATGAGAGAGACATTGCACATACCTTTGTAAATAAAGAAAAGTAGAAGTAGAACAGTAAAAGTAGAACAGCTTCTACCATCAGCTGGAAAGTCATTTCTTGACATTTGAATCCATTGGTTCAGGTCCTGCCCCCTGGACCAGCAGCAAAGAGCCTGTTCCATCTTCCCTGTGTCAGCCCTTCAGGTATTTCAAGATGGCTCTCATATCACGTCTCAGTCTTCTCTTCTCCAGGCTAACCATTCCCAACTCCCTCAACCACTTCCCCCAAAAGCTTGGTTTCCTGACCCTTCATCATCTTGGTCTCCTGCCCCAGCACACGTTCCAGCTTGTCAGTATCTTTCTTAAACTGTGGCGCCCTGAACCTTACAAAGTACTCCAGGTGTGTTGGAAGGGACCCCCTAGAGTAATCTAGTCCAACCCCCTGCAGTGCCGGAATCTCAGCTAAAGCATCCGTTTACATTTAACCATTTCCAGTGTCTTTATTAAGACTTTGACTACGTTTACTGTTCATTAAATGTCTCCCAATACCCTTTTCCATCTGTCTGCAAAACAATTCAAGATTAATCCCAATTGCCCTGTCTGGCCGATTCTCTTTCCAGGCACACGGTGACCACCATAGACTCCATAACAATTTATTCTTTTCCGTGTTCTGGAACGGACGTTCACTACATGCAGTCCCTAAAAGCAGCTAGTTCTGTACTGTAAAAGGCAGGTAGAGACCTTTTCAGTTTAGCTGAAATTATGAAATTATTGTTTTCTCCAACATATAACACACACCCCTGACCAGAAAACCCGAACCAGTTGTAGTGTGGGTTGTATTTACACTGGTGAAAGGAAATCTCTCCCTTCCTGGGAAAGGCTCTGGGTGGGGAGAAACCTTCCTTACAACTGGCCTTGACCGGCTGTGAACTTGAGCTCCCTGTGCCTTCGCCTCTTTTGCTTTCACTGCACTTGGCAGAGCCCAGTCTGAACTCCCTGCACTCTGCGCACCAGATCCAGCCCCACTTGGAAAAATCAATCAGTCCAAAATGCAGCAGCCAGATTACTGGCCAGGCTATTAATGGGTTGGTGGAAACAGTTGCAGATTTGGTAGGAGAGTGTGGCTGGAATAATCTCCAAGCTGCCAAAAGGGAGAAGAGCAGGGCCAAGCTTACAAGAAAAGGCTGCTCATGTTTGCACCTATATCTTTCCCTTTTCGTAGAAATTTCAACATCCAAGGAGGGCTTCCTTCAGAGTAGTATCCTTACCCCACATTCAAGGAGACCAGGACCACACCTGATGGGGCATTAGGTGCCTCCAGCACCCAGCTGTTCACCCCACCACAGAGATGCCTGTGATATTCTACCAGGGAAGGTCATCCCAACCACCTTCCAGCTTGTCAACCTCCTTCTTGAACTGTGGTGCCCAGAACTGGACACAGTATTCCAGGTGAGGTCTGACCAAGGCAGAATAGAGTGGGACTATTACTTCCCTTCATCTGGACTCTAGACTTCTGTTGATGCAGCCTAGGATTGCATTAGGGGTTTTTTTTGTTTTTTTTTTACTGCTGCATCTCACTGTTGACTCATTTTAAGCTTGTGGTCTACTAAGACCCCTGGATCCTTTCTACATATTCTGCCAGCAAGCCACGTATCCCCATCTTATATTTGTGCATCTGTTTATTACTTCTAAGTGCAGAAACTGACATTTTATCCCCATTGAAATCAGTGTTGTTAGTCTTGCCCCAGTTCTTTGGTCTGTAACAGTCATATTGAATATTGATTCTCTCTTATTCAGTATTAACTACCCTTCCCAGTTCAGTGTCATCTGCATATTGGATGAGCAGCCCTTTCTGTCCAAGTCAACAAACACAAACCCTGGTTAAATGCCAAGACTTTGCCTGTGCTCATAAAATCTGCTAAGGAGATTTCAAGCTTGCTGCCTTTAGCTGCAATCACTATAAACCTTGTCTACATGTTCAATGTATGTCCTGCTGTCTTGTATGTATTCTATATTCATTATGAATTTTTTTATGCATTCTATATTAACTTTGCTTATGATCGACATTTTTGTATTCACTCATAGGAAGTTTTATTCTTGCTAGATTAGAAAAATAAAATAAACATTAATGCCTACTCTCATCACCTCAGTTAAACAGAGTTCAAGGCACTACACATTTCAGCAGCACAAGAGATCTGACAAGGAAATGGGTTCTGCAATTTGCCACCTGCTCTCAGCCTCTCTTCCTGGGCAGCAGACCTTTCATTCCATCACTTTGCAAGGAGGGAAGATTCCTCCTATACAGAGTGGGGGAAGCCAAAGGTGTGAGATAGCAGAAGTGGAGTTGGAGCTGAGTTCCACCTACGCTCTGATTGTGCTTGCAGAAACTGGGCAGGGTGCCAACCCTTTGAAGATCCCTCAGTTTCTCTTGACACCCCCAGCTTTCCCCCAAGATGAGGCCAAAGGAAAGGTAGGACAGAGAGGGAGAGAAAGAGATCTGATGCAGGTCTCCCCCAAATTGCGAGGATTAAGAGCAATCTCACACATGTTGCAGTCTTAGGAGAAAGGGGCAGAGAGCAGAGAAGAATAAACAGTGGGGGATGCCATCAGTGACTGAAATACTTCCTCATTAATTGATGGAGACTGGTAAAACAAACCAAGGGAACACACAGAAATGTCCAGGATGCAGTAGCCCAGATGGTCCACAGCCGCCTGCCCCCTCCCTCCTGCAAGGAAGCAACTGGCAGCAGCAGAGGAGCTCAGCATCTTAGGAAGGTGCCATATCCTGAGTCAGGGCAGGGGTCCCCCTAGTCCCACCCCAAATCCCGGGAGAGCCTTGCGCTGCAGCCTTCATTCCTTTGCTCCAAGTCTGGGCCCTGTCAGTATGGATTTGTGGCCTTTCCAAAGAGCCAGAGAGCAGGAGGCGAGGGCATAATCAGCGCAAGATCCCCGTCGCCAAGTCTCCTCTGCAATATGCCAGCTGGAACGGTTTGCAGCAGCCGTGCAGAAGAAGCCTTTGACAACAAAAGAAGCCGTGACAACTTCTAATGTGCAAACGCGTCTTACCAGAAACGTGGAAATCGGATGAATCTTGCCTCCAAGTGGCTCTCTTGCTTGAGTTTGTCTCGACTTGCGTTGGTCCCCTCTGAAAGCACAAGTCTGCTTCAGGCACAGAGGCCACTTCTCCTTTTATCTGTTCGGGAGTCACAAAGTGCAAGGGGACAAGGATCACTTTCAGGGAGAGAAGGAAGTTGCGAGATGGTGTAAGCCATTCCCACTCGTCAGCATTTCACTCCAAAAAGGCTCTTAAGCGGAGCATCGTAGAGTTGGAAGGGACCCCAAGGGCCATCTAGTCCAACCCCTCCTGCGGCCTCCCCACAAGTCGGATCCATGCAGAATCAAGGTCCTTAGTTGCACAACCCTCCCTTTCCTAGTATCTGGACCCAAAATGGATCCATGGAAGCTTCATACAACAGGGATCGACATTACCAGGGATCTGTTCTCCCCCCTGGGCTTTTGGGAAAGAGTTTGTCAGCAGGGCCTCCATCTTGGCCTCAGACATGTGGGCTCTTGGCAGCAGAGGAAGGTTTCCCTCAACATCATATAAATTGAGCCACAACCAGCCTCAATTTATATGAGATTAGGAGAGAAGAGGCTTTCTGGAGCAAAAGCAGTCGCCCCAGCAGGAGGACCCTGAGATGTTTGGGTGAAGGGCGGTGTACAAATAACAACAGCAATAAATATTATCTTCCATTTTTATGCACTGTGGGGGCAGCAGGGCCATGCTCTGGGGGAACCCGCCAAACCCCTCACAGATGAAGGAGGAAATTCTGTGTATTCAGGGGGTGGAAGAGCTGACAGGAATTTGCCTCCCGGTATAAATGTGATGGGTGTCGTCCCTTCAGGCAGGCATGGGGAACTTGGCCCCTCCTGAGGCTGATGAACTACAACTCCCACCACCCGGCCCTTTGGCCAGGCTAGCTGGGGCCGGTGGGAGTTGTAGTTTGGCAACATCTTTTGCGCCCAAAATCCCCCCCGCCTGCCCCAGGGAAAGGAACCTTTTGAACTCCTCATGATGAACTCCCCTCACAAATCTTATTTATTTGACTGGCCAAAGGCTCTTCCGATGCTGGAGGGAAACATTTTGAACCTGCTGTTCTGGTGGCCTCAGGAAAAAGAGCGGGAAAATCCTAGCTGTTTCTGAGGGGAAAGTGTCTAAAATTCTCCTCAGAATCAGTCCTCACACCGCTTAGGGCAATTCACTCCATTTGCTTCTGGAGGGGAAAGAAACTTGCACAGTCAGCTTCTAGGTTAACAATATTTGCTCTGTGATTTCTGTCCATCATGCAGCGTTTGCACAAAACTCAAGAGCACCACCCCTTAACTCCTGGGATTTTGGGCCTGGAAAAGCGATGGGGAAGGAGATACGCTGCCATTCCCTTTTCATAATATCCCTTCTGAGCATTCGGTGCAATCTCTCAAATCCCTGACTAGAACCCTTTTTATGTAGCTGAAAAGCTCTGGGTGAAGGGACTTAATATCACTGTCATCAAAGGACAGGAGGAGGAAAACGTGGCCTATTTGGGGCATGTATTTCCCCCCTCAGCACCCTCTTGGCTCCGGTCGCCATTTCACGCATCAGAACTGTGGGGTTGAATTGATGCTGCATCAAAATGGCTGCCCTGTCGGACAAGGCTTTTCCAGAGGGGCTTCCACAGAGGAGTCGGGAACCCCCAAGCCCACTCCCCAAAGTGGCCCTTCCTGGCAAGCGGAGGGAGGCTGTTTCCCCCACCATGCTGGCCTCACAAAATGGAGCCTGGGGGCGCATTGCTGAGGGGAGAGGAGGCTGAGGGGATGCTCCCGCCTGGTCATGGCCTTACGAAGAACAGTGGCAGGATTTGGCCTGCAGAGCAGTGCCCTAAGAATGGTGGGGAGGGCAGAGGGGACCCTCCGGGGGGGGGGGATGCCCCCTACCATTCACTCCACCCTGAACTCTGCTGACTTGGCCTTGGGCACGATGCCCACCACAAGGTGGATATGGCGGTTCTAATGGGGGTCGCCCCCCATTTCCTGCCTGCCCCCCTCTCCCATTGTACTGGCCCCCAAGAGGAGAATATGGGGCAACCAAGCCCCGTTTCTCCCCCTTAAATAGGTTTGTGAGCTGTGGTGGATCCTCAAATCCGCCCTTGGCTTTCCTCTGACTCCAGAATGATCTGGCATTATTAGATATATAATATATATTTAAAAATCTGTTGGATCAGCAGAACCAGGAAGATGCTGGCTGGGGAGGAACGATACGAACATAGGACGGTGAGTGACGGATGGGTCCCAAGGGATGGGGCTAGAGAGATCTGATCAAGCTCTCTGAGGATTGGTTTGGAAGGACGCAAAGAGTGTAAGACGCCCGGAATGACCTCCTCTGGAAATGGAAAAAGAAAAGGACGAATTTTAAGATTCCGTCTTAGGGATTAAAGATAGGTTATGCAAGGCTATCTGTGGCTATTTGCCTTGCAAGGGAAAAGAGGGAGTCAGAGGGACATCCCTGACAGTTTAATTAACAGGTTAGTGCTTGGTGAAGCATGGAGGGTCATAAAAAAGACCCTTTTTATGGAGACAAGGGTTAGGGTTATGGAGACAAGGGTCGTAAAACCATTTATATGGGGCCGTTCTATTTCGCTTAAAGAAACGAACAGGACGCGAGCTAAACTTCTTACAATTACCAGAAGATTGGTATTTATATATGTTTTGTTACATGTTGTCCATATGTGTGTCATGTGTCCATATGTGTGTTTTGTGTATGAAAATCTATCATGCAAATACGCAAAGGGATTTGTGTTTAAAATTGGCCACAAGATTCAGATAATTTAAACTGCAAGCTTGTTTTAAATTTTGTCTAAATTAACAAGGACTGAGTCAATTTAAAACATGGTGTGTGTTTTTATTAGCATTAACTATTAAATATGAGACTGAAGTGTGTGCAAATGTTTATATTCAATAGAAGCAAAAATCCTGTGTTCTGAGAAGGAGGGGATTGGCCCCCCCCTTCCTGATGCAATCAGAAAGGAAAGGAATTTTCTAATTCTGCTGGGGAATGTTTCCTTCTGTGCTCTGAAGCTAGTTTAAGAAGCTTACCAAGCCAGCAATTATCTATCTCAGTCCAGTTTTAAATTTTGAGTTGGTGGGACACCAGAGTTGTAAGGCTCCTGATAGTTGATGCCTGGGCAACAGAGTGCTCAATTTTTGTTGCCTATTAAGTTTTAGGAATCTGTACATCAGTTAAAATCTGCACCTAGTAAGCAGTGCCTCAGAATGTCCAACAGATTTGCTGGAGTCTGTGTGTGTGTTAAACTTCTGGACACTGCAGGTCCAGCAGCTTGATTTTTATTTCAGTTTGCGTTAGGGAAGCGATTGAAATGTGAAAAGATATTTGGTGTCACCATGGGTCAGCTGGTGAACAAGCTGTGTCTGGCAGAAAGGATAAAATACTGTATTTTATTTTATTCAGCATTGGGGGAGGGGAATTGTACAGCTCGGCTTTGTTTTTGAAGAATTGACAATGCGCTTTGAAAAGATAGGGCATTGCGTGGACAGGCGGAGTCCCCAGATCCTGCACGGTCCCCCCGTCATGTGGAATAACGACTCAAGACAATGTGCTATAGGATTAAATTGGCCACAACTTTATTAAATTTCAAATGTGGGTGGACCTTGGCTCAGGCATTGGGCGTTCTCCCTCCCCGGTCCCCAGCCAGGGACCTAGGGAGCATCAGGGTTATCCAGTGTGTGTGTGGGGCGGATGGGCCGGCTCTGGAGAACATATGTCCAAGCAGAGATGGCCGCCCCCGTAACGCCGCCGCCGCCGCAGGGGAGAGCAATGACGACCTTTCGGTGTACGGCCAAAGCCTCCCTTCAGAAAACCCCTTTAACGGGGAACCCTGGTATCGCCGCCGCAAAGAGGAAGATGGACAAAAGGATTCCGCCCAAGGCCTGATACCGCCAAAGTTGTGACGTTTTGCTACGGGAAAGGCGAAACCTGCCAATGCAGGGAAATTCCTTTCCGGCCCTTTAACAGCGACCTTAACGTAGCAGCGCCCGCATACCTGTGAAGAAAAGTTAACCTGCAAAACCTGTGAAGACAAGTTAACCTGCAAAATAAGACATTAACTGAGGGTGGGTAGGGTGGGAGAAGCTCTGGAGCCAAGTGAGGATTCCTAGGTAAGATCCTCCCTCTATTGTGTGGGCAGGTAATCCCTCCCCTACCTGGCCTGGTCTCCTTGGCAACGCTTCCCCCAGGTGGGATTGGACAACTGACTGAGGTAGGCGGAGACCTCCAGGTATCACACCTGAGGGAAGGCAAAGCCAAGCCTATGCTGTTGGGGCCACTCCAGATCTAGGGGCTGCACGCGTTTACGCAAAGGGCGCCCCCCGTTTTAAGCGGGGAGCGGTCATTCTGATTATGCACAGGAACTGCTTTTTATAATAGATGTAAGTTTTGGAGGATTAAAACAATTGTTCATTTTGTATTCTTTTAAATAAAATCTATGGCTGTTTGTTATTTAAGGTGGGGTACTTTTAGTGCAAAATAACTCAAAATGTGTGTGTCTCTTTGGTGGTACAGGGTTGGACTGGATGACCTCATAATCCTTTTCAACTCTCCCAATTTTATGGCTATGTAGAAGGCAATGAGGGATGCGGGTGGCCCTGTGGGTAAAACCTCAGCGACTAGGGCTTGCCGATCGCATGGTCGGCGGTTCGAATCCCCACGGCGGGGTGCGCTCCCGTTGCTCGGTCCCAGCACCTGCCAACCTAGCAGTTCGAAAGCACCCCCAGGTGCAAGTAGATAAATAGGGACTGCTTACTAGCGGGAAGGTAATCAGCGTTTCCGTGTGCTGTGCTGGTGCTGGCTCGCCAGAGCAGCTTCGTCACGCTGGCCACGTGACCCGGAAGTGTCTGCGGACAGCGCTGGCTCCCGGCCTCTAGAGTGAGATGAGCGCAGAACCCTAGAGTCTGTCAAGACTGGCCCGTACAGGCAGGGGTACCTTTACCTTTAGAAGGCAATGAGTCCAAAAACCCCCACCCTTCTCCTCCTTAAGATTTTACAGACGGGAGGGATGTGGCTCAGACAAGAGATAAGATACTCCCGTCTGGGTAAAGAGAGGGAGGGAATAATAAAGAGACTTTGAACTCCCCTTGTTGGCGGAGTCCCCTTGTAGGTGGGGAAAGGGGGGCAGGTGATTTTGTATGCAAAGGGAGGGTCTCTGGAGGATTATTGTGTGTCTTCCATAACTTCTAGATGTCACATGCTTTAGTGAGACCAGAAAAATAGAACCATAACTCCCAGTCAAGTCATTTTGTGTAGCTAAGAGGGAAGAAATATGCCAACCTCAGCTGTGGACAAATGTGTACTTTCATATATATTTTCACTTAATGCAAAGCCTTCTCAGAAAGTTTTAAACACCTAAGTGACAGGAGTAGATGGATCTAATGACTGAGCTGATCTCTTTCTACTGGCAACAGATTTGAGTTTGAATTCAGTTATAAATATATGTATTTCAAAAGAACGTGAAACAATCTGAACCCCAACTTAGCTTTGATGCTCTGTAACAATAAACCCAGTTGTAGGTGCTCCCATCAGACAAACTGGGTTGACTATTTCCAAGAAAATCAGGGTTGTCTTTTTCTTGGTGTTTAGAGCTAGTTCATACAACACAGTTCCTTTATCCAAGCAATCCCACGTGATTATTGACTATGTGTTTAACAACGATGGTGGGTGGGGGGAATTCATTTTACTTTGCTGCTTTATCTGGGAAAACCCGCTGTTTACTGCTGAATTTGAACAAATGTCAATCTGCAGGAAACCCGATTGACATTTCTTAACGATCCAGTGGTAGAGAAGGGATTTCCCCGGGGAAAGCAGCGGGGCAAGGGCAAAACCGCTCGGACCTGTGCCTGGGAAGCACAAGACAAGTGGAAGTTTGGACAAGGCCAAAGTGTCCTGGTGGGGCTCTGCTTGGCCACAGTAGTTCCCCCAAGGCCTCTCTTTTGGTTAATGCAAAATAACAAGGGCAGTCATATTAAAGGCACATATTACATTGTGGGACTTACACATAGTGGATATTTTAAATGTTATGTTCTTAAGGTCCCTCCAAACATTTCTGTTGCTCTGATTTGTAGGATGAAGCTCAGAAGAAAGAAGGAGGTTTCCATGAAATGCTGATCTGGAGGACCGGTTCCTGGAACCTCTCAATTTTCTTCCTCATCTGAGCAGATTTTGCAAAGGTATTTATTTTCATTATTGTACAAGGCACAATGGAAAGGGGATGTGGCCTCTGCGACCGAGTTATTCTGAAACTGAATCTGAAAGGGGTGGTGATGGTCACAGGCGTTCAGAGGGGCTAATGTGGAGCAAGGGTCTGAAAGAGGAAGTCGTCCTTCTTGCAAACTGTAAACGCAGCGTCTCCTTTTGCAACGGTTAGGATTGTCCGTTCACGTGGAGTATCACAGGAGTATCTGTGGAGGGATGAATGCCTGGGCCTAGGAGGAGTGTTCCTGGTTTCCCTAAATGTGGCAGTTGTGAGACTATTCTGAACAAAGTCCTTGGACACAAGGGATGCTTCCAGATGTCCTCTAGTCACACATTTTCTTCAGCAGTGGCAGCACATGAGGTGGGGCGGGAGCAGAAGTGGTCTCCTCCAGGCAAGGTGGGGAGCAGGGGGTGGCTTGCCAGTGCCACTTCACCCCGCCCTAACCTGAGCATGGTGCCCACCCCCAGAATGGCACAATTGATGCTTCCCACCCCGTCACCTCTGCCATGCCACTGTTACTGTACAGTTTTGTGGCTAAGATTTTTGAGTTCTGGCTGTTTCATTCTCAACATATTTAGAGTGCACTGGACTATAGATTTATTTTAAATTGGTTTCTGACCCAGACTTGGCATGGTCAGATATGGTCACTCTGCTGGTTGGCTAAGGCTTGGAGGAGGACTATGATGGTCTTAGTTCTCCTGGACCTTTCAGTAGCTTCTGAACAGGCTGCCTGGGGTGGGACTCCAGGGGCAGTGCGTTTGAATGCTTCCAGTATATAAATATGAACTCAAATATTGCAAAATGCCATAGCATTCCAGCAATGAAACCTAAGCTCTATGTGTAGGCAGCGCTGCACCCCTGGAGCTTCACACTTCTCAGATAAGTGGAGTCAATGTAAGATGGCGGGGTCACGAAAAACGTATGGCAGCCCTAAGCAATTGGCACCCTAACCCATGGGGTCACGGGGCCACCCAAAACCCAACGTCATTCGATTCACAGTACAAGACATTGACAAAAGGTCTGTGATAGCTTTTCACAGCGAAAAACCATGCTTTGCGGCGCCCCAAAAATGGAGCAATCAGCACCATAAGTCAGGGGGTGTGTGTCACGAGGTTGCTGAAAACCCGACATCATCCAATTCACTCCGAAGTGGAGCCAAACACCAACGAAAGGTCTGCAGCAGTGTTTCGTGGTGAACACCCCGTGTTTTGCGGCGCCCCACAAACAGAGCCCTCGGCCTGTGGCAGAGTGGGCATTGCTCTCTTTGTGGGGTGTTGCAAACCATGGGGGTTTCGCTGCAAAACGTTTGCCAAAGTTTGGCACCAGTTTGGAGTGAATCGGAGAACGCTGGGTTTTTAGTGACCTTTGGACCCCCCGTATGAGGGACTATTGCTCCGTTGGTGGGGTGCTACAAAATGCAGGGTTTTTACTGCAAGACACTGCAAAATGTTTGCCAAAGTTTGGAGCCAGTTTAGAGTGAATTGGACAGTGTTGGGTTTTTGGTGAGCTTTTGACCCCCAGCTTAGAGTGTGTATCACTCTTTTTGTGGGGCATAGCAAACCACAGGGTTTTCACTGCAAAACGTTTGCCAAAGTTTGATGCTTGTTTGGCGTGAATTGGACAATGTTGTGTTTTGGGGCATTAACTACAAACCCAGGTTTCCTGTATCAATTAATTGGTTTGTAAGGTAAAGGTAAAGGACCCCTGACAGTTAAGTCCAGTCACGAACGATTCTGTGGTTGCAGTGTTCATCTCACTTTACTGGCTGAGGGAGCCGATGTTTGTCTGCTTTTGCAGACAGTTTTTCTGGGTCATGTGGCCAGCATGACTAAGCCGCTTCTGGCGAACCAGAGCAGCGCACGGAAACACCATTTATCTTCCCGCCGGAGCGGTACCTATTTATCTATTTGCACTTTGATGTGCTTTCAAACTGCTAGGTTGGCAGGAGCTGGGACCGAGCAACGGGAGCTCACCCTGTTGCAGGGATTCGAACCGCCAACCTTCTGATTGGCAAGCCCTAGGCCCAGTGGTTTTAGACCACAGCGTGTGGGGCACTGCAAAATGCTGCAAAACAGCTGCAAAACTTTGGCACAGGTTTAGAGGGGATCCCAGATTTTGGAGTTTGCAGTTAATGTAGCTGAGCCATTGCCATGATTGAACAATTTAAACGGCAAGTTTGCAAGATAAGAACTGGAGTATTGCTTGTTTATAATATGTGGTGTGTGTGTGTGTGTGTGTCCAGAAGACAACATTCATGTTTACATCACATTAATACATGAAAAGGATATTGTGGCTGTTACGGAAATTGGGGAGGGGGCACATCTTTAAAGTTGTTAAATGTTACAAATATTATGCATAAATGTATCCTTTTGACTTGACAGCTCAGGGAAGTTACCTAGCTTTAAAAATCATATAAAATCAACTCCTTTGCCAGTTTCCTTCATTCCACCGCCAATTTGCTTCATTGGCCAAGGACTTGGAAACCACTTGGTTCCCCACCATAATCCCTCAAGTGGGAGGTCATGTACTCACAGGAAGGTACTCATAGGTGTCAATCGCTGGGCAAAGGCACTCCTCCGGACTTGCCCAGGTGACAGACTATGCAAACCAAAGTTCTAATGTCCTCTTGTAGTAGGTGCTTATAATGTTTTCCCCAATACATAACCTGTTGCCCCAACACATTCCTCCTATGTTAATCATGTATAACCCTCCCCTTTTCTGATGTAGCAATGATGTAGTGATGATGCTTAATGAACTCTGTGCTGGGATAAGATAGAATATTTTTTAAGTCCTTGTGACCCCATCCTCGGGGTTCAAAATTCCTCTTTGAACCTGTTGCACAATAAACTTTGGTCTACAGCTATTTGCTTTGGTTGGTGGCTGGACTCCTTCCTTTATTCCGCAGGGACCTGCAGGCTCAGCCCGACGAGCTGGGTGACTGAGCAGCCTCGCACCTAGATTTCTTCGTAACAGTGGCATACAATGAGCTATGAAAATGAAGTCCTGTTTATACTGAAAATGAAATACCTGCACCAAATGAAGGAAATGGTGAAGCTGACATACAAAGCACTTTGTATTGTTCCAAAAGTTGGGTGCCACCCCCACTCTCTGCAGGATTCCAGGGCTTCCCAGGACTCACCCTGGGTCTGTGTTCCTTTGGAGAATTGAGACACGGCGGGGACTGTCGTAGCTTTAAAAAATATGCTTTATTCACCTATTTACACCTTCAGACTGCCTGGAGGGAGTCCAGATTTTACAGCATGGTCTTTTCAAGAGGGGCTTGTCCCTCAGAGCAGTGCAGCCCTGGAGTCCAAGGCATCTCTCTCAGCTAGCCTGCAGACAGCCTGCCCAAGATGGAGCCCAGTCTTTTCTCCCCCTTCTTCTTCCCAGCACCCCTCTTCCTGTCACTTCAAACCCACACCCCATCACCATGACAACCTCTGTCTGCTGAGACCAAGGCTCTCAGATGGTCCATCAACTCCTTTTGTCATGTTAATGCCTTTGCTCATTAACAGCTCTAGCTTCCAATCTGGGGCTAGAATCCCACCCAATAGTCTCCATACAATGGTTTGGAAGAGGGATGGTGAAGTCTTAAAAGTCCCAGTTCAGTCCCACTGCCTTCACTCTTTTGCAAGTTCATTGTTACATTTAAAAAAAAAAAAAAAGAGTTTGGTGGCTTGTTCAGCTTGTTTTATGCTTCAGTACCTTGCCCAATCCCTAGAGAGATAAAAAGAGAGAGAGTTTATATATTGATGTTTTCCATCATTTCACAGTCAATCTCCACCCTATCTTTACTTGCCTTCAATTTACTCTTCAAAATACTTAACACAGTATTTTGCATCTTTCCCCCATCCTCTCCCAATAAATCAAATCCCATACACATATTTTAAAAAGTTTGTTTGCTGACACAAACACCCCTGGAGCCAACCTTCTAACCTTTGGCAGCATCAATCCCATCTTGAGGGGCTAACTGGTGAAAAGAGCAAAGAGAGAGAAACAGAAAGTAGCTACGGTATTTGGTTTCTCAATGCAAGTAAATGGGAGTACCAAAGATTCAAATTTCTGATTCAGAGGGTCAAAACAATTTGGTTCTCAATCAATTCAGTCCAAATTGTGGCCTGGGCTGAACTGCCAAATTGGGTGTTGAACTGGATTTGGGGTGGGGTGGGGCTTGAACAGCCCTAAACACTGATTGAGAAGCATTTTATTTACAGCAACAGAAAAATGGAGAACCTGTTGCAGTACTTGTTAAAAAGGGTTTCGCAATCCCCCATGTGCACACCCACAACATGATGTGAATAACACTCAAGAGGACCTGAACTCACTGCTGATAGTCCGTCTGCAACAATATACAACAACAACAACAACAACAACAACAACAACAATAATAATTTTTATTTATACCCCGCCCTCCCCAGCCAAGGCGGGCTCAGAGCGGCTTACAAGCAATAATAAAAACAAGAAGAATGATTACAACTTAAAAACAAAAATAAAATACAACATTAAAATAATGGAACATTAAAATATTAAAATGTAGCCTCATCGCAGGAGGAGAAGGAAAAGAAAAAAGAAAGAGAGGGAGGGAGAGAGGGAATCAAATTGGCTCCAAGCCAAAGGCCAGGCGGAACAACTCTGTCTTACAGGCCCTGTGGAAAGAAATCCGATCCTGCAGGGCCCTGGTCTCATGAGGCAGAGCGTTCCACCAGACCGGAGCCAGAGTTGAAAAGGCCCTGGCTCTGGTTGAAGCTAATCTAACTTCCTTAGGGCCCGGGACCACTAGGGTGTTGCTATTTACGGACCTTGAGGCTCTCCGTGGGGCATACCGGGAGAGGCGGTCCCGTAGGTACGAGGGTCCAAGGCCGTGAAGGGCTTTAAAGGTCAAAAGCAGCACCTTAAATCTGACCCTGTACTCCACCGGGAGCCAGTGCAGCTTGAAAAGCACTGGGTGAATATGCTCCCATGGCAGAGACCCCGTGAGGAGCCTCGCTGCAGCATTCTGCACCCGCTGGAGTTTCTGGGACAGCTTCAAGAGCAGCCCCGCGTAAAGCGAATTACAGTAGTCAAGCCTGGAGATGACCGTCGCATGGATCACTGTGGCCAGGTCAGGGCGGGAAAGGTAAGGGACCAACTGCTTGATGCGGCGAAGGTGGAAAAATGTCGCCTTGGCTGTTGCTGTAACTTGCGCCTCCATGGAAAGGGAGGCGTCAAGGATTACACCCAAACGCTTAATGGAAGACAATGGCACTAATTGGGCCCCCGCAAGAGAAGGGAGTTGGTCCCTCATCCCCATGCCATCCCGATCTCTGTCTTCGAAGGATTTAGTTTCAATCGGCTCCCACGAAACCATCCAGCCACAGCTTCCAAGCATCTGGTCAGTGTGTTCAGGGCCGAGTTGGTGTTGCCATCCATCAGCAGATAGAGCTGAGTGTCATCAGCATATTGGTTTTAAAATTAATATTTTAATGTATAAAAAAATGTCCAGTAGCACCTTAGAGACCAACTAAGTTTGTTCTTGGTGTAAGGTTTCATGTGCATGCATACTTCTTCAGATACACTGAAACGGAAGTCACCAGACTATTATATATAGTGGGAGGGTGGGGTGGGGTTTTTCTCAGGAGGGTAGTAGGAGATGGGTGATTGACTCAATGGGTATGGTAAACCTGTTAACGATTGCAATTAGTCCTACAGGAAAAAGCAATGGATAGTATGCAGATGATTAGCATATATAATGAGACAGGAATCCAATACAGTGGTACCTTGGTTTGCAACCGCTTCGGATTACAACCGCTTTGGATTACAACCACGTCAAACCTGGAAGTGCGTGTCTCTTTTTTGGATTACAACCAATTTTTTGGGGATTACAACCAATTTTGGGGGGGATTACAACCAATTTTGGGCGAAGGCCCCATTGGAGAAAGTGTGCCTTGGGTTACAACCTGTTTTTATTTACAACCGGACCTCTGGAACAGATTATGGTTGTAAACCAAGGTACTACTGTATCTCTATTAAGACCAGGTCTCTACATAGTTTTCAGTTTAGTGATACTGAAAACTATGGAGAGACCTGGTCTTAATAGAGATATTGGATTCCTGTCTCATGCATACTATCCCTTGCTTTTTTCGTGTGCATGCACACGAAAGCTTATAGCAAGAACAAACTTAGTTGGTCTCTAAGGCACTACTGCACAATTTTAATTTTTTTATATGTTTCGACTGCGTCAGACCAACATGGCTACCTATCTGAATCTAGAACCATTAATATTTTATTTATACCTGTCCCGGTGCAATGTGCATCAAAAGCAAACAAACTTCCTAAATCTGGCCTGCAGGGCAGAACGCCTTTCCATTTCACTGTCTTTGAACAGATCCTCCTCCTCCAGCAGCAGAGGTTCCTTGCTTGCAATGTTTTCTCTTAGCTCAGCCGATTCCCTCACTTCCTTCAGCAATTGGATTCTCTCCTGGCATCCAGGCTTCAGATCCTGCTCTTCTGAAATGATGAGCAGGTCAATGTATTCTTGGGTGGAGAGCAGGTTGGGCTTCAACCCAATTTGATGCAAGCGCTGGAGGCTTTGAGATGATTTCTGGATGAGGTCTTCTAAGGCTTGCTTAGCCTCTTTGTATTCCTGGTTGAGATTTCCAAGCACCTTCTCTGGGGTCATCGCCTCTCCAGAGGCGTCTGCATACTTTTGCTTCAACTCATCATAAGACTTTATCTCTTTTGTTACTTTATATTCAAACAGGTATTTCTGATTGAAGTGCATGTTCCACACGCAGCGGCCAGGACAGACATTGCATTTCCCCGTGTTTGCATTGATAGCTACACAACGGCGCTTGCCCTCATCTCTCCGGATCGGGCAAGGGTAATGGCAGGTGTAGTGACAGTTCATGCAATTGGTTGTGAATCTTCCAGCGGCAGAGATGTCTTCCTTCTGTGGCACAGATTTTTCTACTTCAAACTCAAAGTTTATGTTGACTGCCATCTCAGACTTGTGTTCCTCCAGAGCTTGCCTCGTCTTCCTCAACTCTTCCAGCTTTCCAAGGGCAGCTCTGATTTGGGGCTGCAACCCTTCTGTGATGGCTTCTAGCTCCTTCCGTTCCCTGAGCACTTCCTTCGTCAGAGTTAAACTTTCACTGTCTAGTAAGCTTAATGTGTCAAAAAATGTCTTCATGCTTGCAGTGCTCATTTTCCAGAACTTGTCATTAGGATTTAGGTTCCCTTCATTCTCTTCAGAATTGCTGGCAAACAGAGCTGAATTGTTGAATTTGAAGTGAACTGGGCTACCCCTGGAATCTTTAATGCATGGCACATCCTCCTTCTTCATGGCTTCCAAAACAGGAAGAGAATGTCCGTCTGCAAAGGTGATCAGGATCTGGATGTTGTTCCTTATATCTTTCCCAAAAATGGAGAGCACAGAGTCAAAGACGTATTTCTGGGCACGAGTTAAGGCAGCACTGGAGGCCTGAAGTACAATACAGATGACATCGACATGATCCGTTCCTCCCGGGGTGGAGAAAAACTCCCGGATCTGCTTTGTTATCTGTTTGTACTGCTTCCTATCTCCCATGTCTCCAAATCCTGGAGTGTCAATGAAAGTGAGAGAATAAGGGACTTCCAAACCCTTCTGGTGGTGCACTACGTAGGCGGTCACTTCTGAGGACTGACTTTCAGCCTGAATGAGTTTGAATCGGAAATCATCTTCCCATTGCACACCCAGGATATGATTGATCATGGCATTGACAAGAGTGGTTTTCCCTGACCCTGTTGCCCCCATCATCACAATTACTTTGTTGGGGACCTGCATGTTCTCTTTTCCTAGCTGATACGTTTGGACGGGGGCCGATCGATCTGAGGTGGCCTCCAGGGGAAGTACATACACGGATGGTTGCCCATCTTCCACCAGGGTGCTTTCCTTGAAGGTATTTTCGAGCTAGTATATTTGCCCCGTCGTCTTCTTCTTCTTCCATTGCTGTGGAAATCTCAGTCTCTTCACTGGGCTCACTCTCAGCCCCATCAAAACATACAGCTGAGACTCTGAGTCTGTAGGTTCTGTGAGGCTTCAGTCCATCCAGCTGGCAGGACTCTGTTCTTGCCCCTGTTCTTTTTTCATTCCATCTGTCCTTATCGCCCACCAGCCCCCTGTACTCCACTTTGTACTCCTTTATATCAGCTCCAATGACCTTTGGGCTCTCCCAGACAAGACTGATTTTGGAAGACTCTACAGTTCTCTCTCTTGGTTTCCCAGGAGGGCTGGTAGGAAGTGTCTTTACAGATCTACTCAAATCACTAGTCTCACTAAGTCCTGGTTTGCTCCTAGCAGTGTATCGAAACTGGTATTCTGAGTCCGGCCTCAACCCTTTCACGTGGAACGTCTCCTGACTGTTGTCTGTATTCACAATCTGCCAGTTTCCTTCTCCTGCAATCTTGTATTCTACCTGATAACTGGAGATTGCAGCCCTCCCATACTCTGCGGGTTGAAATGTCAGCTGCACATGGCCATGTCCAATTTGGCCAACCAGGGGAGGGAGAGGTTTTGAGGGCAGCTCAAAGTTGCTGTTGACCATCTCCCCATCTTCATAGAGGTAAATGGAAGCTCCTGGGTTGTCCTGATCTGGGACAGAAGCCACAAGAAACCGGGTCTTCCCATTGGATTCATTGATTTGGGCAAAATCCATAATAGATTTGGCAGCTTTCCGAGCTTTTTGGGTTCTCTCTCTTTGCTCAAACCAGGCTTTCCAATGCTCTGTCTGTCCTCTTGCTGGCTTCTGAAGCCATTGTTGTAAGCTGGCTAAAAATGGTTCCTCGTCATGTAAAGAACTGAAGGTAAATGTGAGAACAAACTCATTTGCAGGGCTTAGCACTATTTCTTCCAGTTTGTTCTTGGAGGAGATGACTTCCATCCCATGTAGAATATTAAGGTAAGAGTTCACCAAAATAATCTCTCGTTCCTTGGCATCCAGAAACTCGTTGAGTCTTTGGCTGTTGAAGGGAGACTGGTTAATGGAAATGAAGATCTCCACCAGTGCTTGTTCCATTTTACCCCCTCCTCTGATAGAAGGCAGGATTCCTGCCAGGTGTTTCTGGAAAGTCTGCCTGTGCTGCTTGCACAAATCCTTGAATCTCTTGATTTTCATCTTTATTTCTGGGAAGATGTTCGCAATGCGGGTGTTTGTCAAGTCATTGCATCTCATCCTGATTTCATTCAGTTGCTCCATGATGGCTTGACTATCAAAGACCAGGGCCAAGCTGATCTCACGCACCATCTTAGCTGCTTGGGAATCCAGCTTGGTCAGTGGGTACAGCCAAACGGTTACAGGAACAGCCCTCTCCCCGTCCTTCCCCAGCATTGCAGGAAGGATGGCGTATGCTTGCATGGCATCTTGGAAAGTCACTGGATTCCTCTCCAGAACAAAATCTCCGTGGAATTTGCAGCGGAACTTCTCAGTGTAGTTCCTCTCCCTCTCTGTTGTTTTGAAGGCCAGTTTCCCTTCAGCAGAGACTATAAAGAGCTGGATTGCACCTCGGAGTTTTGCTTCTATCTCTTTTACAGACTCAGAAGAAGAGACTTCTCGGTCAAATACAAAAAAAGCCTGGGCTCCATACAAGATGGCAGTGACAACGTGGGTAGCCATACCATGCTCAAATACAGATGGGTAAGAGATGTTTTGGATTCCCAAATGGCTCATCGTCAGTTGAGCATATTTCGTGGTAGCTTTGTACTGCAGAGTGACTCTGGTCTGTTGCCCAAACTTTTTGGTGTCTTCAAGGAATTTGCCTGATCCTTCCACTTCAACCAGTCCCCCCAGAAAACTGACTCTGAGTGATGCCGAGGCATTGAGGGCAGAGGTCTTATCTTCAATGGAATCAGAAGCAATGATCTCAATTTCAGTCTTGGGCTGCCTTTGGATACTCAAGTCCTTCCGAAGTGAGTCCGGGTCCCAAAGGGTGACCCCTTGAATGAAGCAGAAAAACAAACACACAAGGCTTTAGTTATGTTCAGATAAATGGAACAGCACTGCTGCCTGAAATGCTTAGGATGTATGGGGAAACAACAGGTAATAATTGTGGTAGAATAAAGCCACCATTGTCCATGGTGAGGACACTAATTCTTTGGTCTCAGTTTCACCCCAAGTCAAACAGCTTTGCACCTTTTCTAAAGCATTGTGCAAAGACTTATAAATTGTTTTACTAGAGATGATAGTAGGAGGCATGTGAACCCTGTAAATGATTGTGCTTCCCTGTGGACACCTTCAACTGTCACAATTTTTATTTTATTTTTTGTTTCTCTTTAGCATAGGAAACTCATTTTCTGTGTCCCATGCCCCCAGGAATGTCCTCTTGGTAAGCACCATTTGTGAATTATGTGCCACAGGAATCTATATGCTTTCTGGTATTCTCAAAGAATATCACAATTAAGTGCTTTAAGAACTCAAGTGGATGCTATCCTGACCTGATTTGTCACCACAACCTGTCTCATTTCCTCTCAAACTCTCTTCCAAAGTACGTTAGTTCAGGCACTGGGATCGGCCCTCAGTCTTCTGTCATGAAGACAGATGCAAATACTTCATTCAGCTTCTCCTCAATCTCCTTATCCTCCATTAGCCGTCCTTTGACTCCCTGGTCATCAAAGTGTCCAACCTCCTCCATAGATGGTCTCCTGCCACAAAGGTATTTAAAGAACTTCCTGTTGCTGGTTTTAATGTTTTTCATAATGTACCGTATTTTTTGCTCTATAAGACTCACTTTTTCCCTCCTAAAAAGTAAGGGGAAATGTCTGTGCATCTTATGGAGAGAATGCAGGCTGCGCAGCTATCGCAGAAGCCAGAACAACAAGAGGGATCGCTGCTTTCGCTGTACAGCGATCCCTCTTGCTGTTCTGGCTTCTGAGATTCAGAATATTTTTTTTCTTGTTTTCCTCCTCCAAAAACTAGGCACGTCTTGTGGTCTGATGCGTCTTATAGAGCGAAAAGTACGGTACTCCCCCAATTCTTTTTAAGCATCTCTTAATTTTTGCTTGCATTTCCTTTGTCAAAGTTTCTATCCCCTTTTTCTTCTATTTTGGATATGAGTTCCATTTTCTGGAGGAAGCTTTCTTGCTTCTAACAGAGTCCATCAGTAATGATACCTTGTTGACAAAGGGCTCACTAACCCAGCCCTGCATCACATAACCAATAATTCTTCCCTATTCCGGAAGAAGCTGAAGTCATCTCCCTTGGAGACTTTGCATAAGTGTGTTTCATTTTGAGTGCCATGTTCCATCCCAGACATGGCAACCACAGTGATCTCCCCATCAGCTTTACCTGGGATGAGGGCATCTTTGCGGCAGTCATACAGCATCCCAAGCTGAAATGGGCGGCCCAAGGCTGGTATTTCAACCGCTCCATCTGAAATGGCCATGGCTTCAGTCCAAATCACTCTCCCTTCTCCCTTAGCCTCCCTGCAAGAAACAAGAGATGTGAAGGAGGCAGGGCAGATTTTAACAGATGTGGAGTGTGAGAGGACAAAGGGAGGAACTAGTGATGCCATCGAAAGAAGAATGCCTGCCACACACAAAAAGATAAAACAAACCAACAAGGTACAGTGGTGCCTCACAAGACGAAATTAATTCGTTCCGCAAGTTTTTTCTTCTTGCGAGTTTTTCGTCTTGCGATGCACGGTTTCCCATAGGAATGCATTGAAAATCAATTAATGCGTTCCTAGGGAAACCGACTTCAGACCAGGTCCGGGGACAGTCTGTCCCCCGACCTCTTCTGAAGGCTGGGGGGGGGGGACAAGGGCTTTTCTTCCCACCCCCAGCATTTTAAAAAACCCCGGGACAGCGGAGGGCTTCTCCGCTGTCCGGGGCGATTTAAAAGCCCCTGGGAAGGCAGGCAGGGGGGACAAAGACTTTTGCCCCCCGCCAGCCTTCAGAAGAGGTCCTGGACCTCTTCTGAAGGCTGGCGGGGGCGAAAGTCTTTGCTCCCCCCCGCCTGCCTTCAAAAGCTGTCCGGCCAAGGCTTCGCGGACCTCTCCGCCAGCAGCGGCAGCGCTGCCGCTGCTGGCGGAGACTTGCCGGCATGCCGAAGCCTGCGCGCGCTGACATCAGCGCGCCCAGGCTTCGCGGACCTCTCCGCCAGCAGCAGGAACGTTCCCGCTGCTTGGGGAGAGTTGCCGGCATCCCGAAGCCTGCGCGCGCTGATCTCAGCGCGTCCAGGCTTCGCGGATCTCTCCACAAGCAGCGGGAACGTTCCCGCTGCTTGGGGAGAGTTGCCGGCATCCCGAAGCCTGCGCGCGCTGATCTCAGCGCGTCCAGGCTTCGCGGATCTCTCCACAAGCAGCGGGAACGTTCCCGCTGCTTGGGGAGAGTTGCCGGCATCCCGAAGCCTGCAAGCGCTGATCTCAGCGCGTCCAGGCTTCGCGGATCTCTCCCCAAGCAGCGGGAACGTTCCCGCTGCTTGGGGAGAGTTGCCGGCATCCCGAAGCCTGCGCGCGCTGATCTCAGCGCGTCCAGGCTTCGCGGATCTCTCCACAAGCAGCGGGAACGTTCCCGCTGCTTGGGGAGAGTTGCCGGCATGCCGAAGCCTGTGCGCGCTGACATCAGCGCGCCCAGGCTTCCCGGACCTCTCCTGCCTTCAAAAGCCGTCCGGGATAGCGGGAAGCGCTTCCCTGCTATCCCGGACTGCTTTTAAAATGCTGGCGCTGGGGAGCAAAGCCTTTCGGCCCCCGCCAGCCTTCCTGGACCTCTTCTGAAGGCCGGAGGGGGGGGGGAAAGGCTTTGCTCCCCACCGCTAGCATTTAAAAGAGGTCCCCGGAGATTTCCCTATGGGCTTTCGTCTTGCGAAGCAAGCCCATAGGGAAATTCGTTTTGCGAAGCGCCTCCAAAACAGAAAACCCTTTCGTCTAGCGGGTTTTCTGTCTTGCGAGGCGTTCGTCTTGCGGGGTACCACTGTACTTAAACACATCAGCAATGGCACGGCTTCCAGGAAGGTCAGTGAAATGCTGCTTCAGCTGGAAGTGCTGGGGGAAGTAGCAGACACACCCAGAGCACAGGGGGAGAATCTGAGCATCTGCCGCCTCCTCTTCCTGTCTCCATTGCAGTCCTATGTTGCACTAGAAGAGGGGTTCCCCAACTTTGGTCTGCGGACCACCAGTTGCCCACAAGCTTCATTCAGGGGGTCTGCAGCATCTCTGCACCACATATTTAGATTGGTTTTTAAAGGCATTTTATTTTTCACTCATTCTATTCACTGCATTGCAATTTATTGTCCTGCAATTTGAATTCCATTGGATGAAAATTGTAATACAATAAAATGCAATACTAGGTGCTACTGTCCCTGCTTTTGAATTATGGTGCTGGAGAAGACTCTTGAGAGTCCCATGGACTGCAAGAAGATCAAACGCATCCATTCTTAAGGAAATCAGCCCTGAGTGCTCACTGGAAGGTCAGATCGTGAAGCTGAGGCTCCAGTACTTTGGCCACCTCATGAGAAGAGAAGACTCCCTGGAGAAGACCCCGATGCTGGGAAAGATGGAGGGCACAAGGAGAAGGGGGCGACAGAGGACGAGATGGTTGGATAGTGTTTTCGAGGTTACCAGCATGAGTTTGACCAAACTGCGGGAGGTAGTGGAGGACAGAGGTGCCTGGCGTGCTCTGGTCCATGGGGTCACGAAGAGTCGGACACGACTAAATGACTAAACAACAACAACAACAACAACAACTGCCCCTGCTTGCATAGATTGCCAGCTCTGCCAAACCCACACCTTCATACCCTCATTGGTGGACGAAGGTGGGGGCGGGGTAGGCGGGCCACCCCTGGTGCCATTCGAGGTGTGTGTGTGTGACATTGCAGCTGCCCCCCGGGATGCTCGCCGCTTGCTGTGCACCCCCCCAATGTGTGCCACGCCCCTTTGCAGTGTCATGCCACGCCCCCTGGGACGTGTGCCAGCCACGCCCCCAGATGTATGTCAGAGCAGGTAGCTTCGCCACTGCATACCCTCACCCTGTCACAGCTCCTTCAAACCCCCCCCCCCGGCAGTTCTTTCAAGTTCCCCATATCCTTGCAGCTCCTTCAACCTCCTCATCCCCTCATAGCTCCTTGGTTTTCCTCCACCAGGGCTTATTCAGTCCTCTGTTGTGGTTTAAAGCCACCTTGTTAAACCCTGCCTTCTCTTTTGCTTTCCTCCCCCACCCTGATTTCATGCAAATCCAGGATTGTGATATATTACTACAAATCCTCCTGTGTGGGCTGTGTGATGACAGCCGTACCTTTTTATGTACGTAGGAAGGGAGGAAATAAAAAATAAAAATAAACGAAGGTTTGGATGGAGAAGGTCCTGAAGCAAGCAGGAGCACCCATAATTCCTCTCTCCCATCTGCTCCCTATCTTTGGAGGAAGCAGGTGCTTGAGAGAGCAATCCTACCTTGATGGATTCCCAGCAAGACCCCACTCTCTCTTGTGTGTGGAAGGAGGCAAATAATGAGATCGACTGAAGGAGGGCGTTGCTGCAGATGGTGTTCCTGTAACCCTCTGAGGTAGCACAATCTTCTAATACAATTCTGAGGGTTGCGTCTTTGCTCCATAAGCACAGGCAGCTCCCTCCCTCCTTGCTCCTCCAGGGAAACAATAGGATACGAAGAAAGGGGACTCTAGCACAGCCCCTGCAACGCAAGACTTACAGCTAAATAATCCCTGAGAGGTGGCCCTCCAACCTCTGTTTAAAGACCTCCATTGAAGGACAGGCCACCACCTTATGAGGCCATAGAGTCATAGAACTGTAGACTTGGAAAGGACCCCAGGGTTTATCTAGTCCATTCTTCTGCAATGCAGGAATCACAGCTAAGGTATCCCTGACAGATGGCCATCAAAAATCTCCACCACTTTCCAAAGTAGCGTGTTGCACTGCCAAACTTTCTGTCACTAAGTTCTTCCTTAGCTACCCAACCACAGCCATCCCCTCTTTCTGGGCCAACCCTAAATCCTGGGAGGGTCCTTGCAGCCCCTCCCAAAGCCTGGGATAGCCTTGCGCTGAAGCCTTCATTCATTTGCTCCAAGTATTGTGACCTTTCAAAAGAGCCAGAGAGCATTAAGCGAGGACATTGGCGCAAGAGCCCCACCACCAAATCCCCTCTAGTATGCCAGCAGCCATGCAAAAGAAGTGGTTGCAGCGATAACTTCTAATATAAGGTTACCAGACGTCCCCGTTTCCCGGGGACAGTCCCCGGATTTACAAATCAGTCCCCATACAAAATCCATTGACGTTGAAAAGTGTCCCCTGATTCATTGAAAAAAATCTGGTAACCTTATTCTAATAGTTGAAATGAATCTTACCAGAAACATGGAAATCAGATGAATCTCCCTTGCCTGAGTTGTCTTGAGGGAGCCGTGCAACTTGCCTTTGTCCCCGTTAAGCACAATTCTGTTTCAGGCCCCAGAGGCCACTTCTCCTTTTATCTTTTCAGGAATGCAAGTTTGCTAGTTGACAAAGATCACTCTCAAGGAGAGAAGGAAGTTGAGAGATGGTGGAGAATGTTCCCACTAGTCAGCAGTTCACCCCAAAAAGGCTCTGGAGCATATGAGCCATTGGCCTGATCCGTCAGACTCTTCTTGTGTTCTTATATATTTACAAAGGCTGTTTTGTCAATTTTTGGTTTGTAGGAAAGGTCCCATGCTAGATATATGCACACTACTAAGGAGGGGGGGAGTGGAGATTTGTAGTGAGATCCTGCCCTATACCTATACACAGTGCTTTTTCTGGGGGGACGCATACCCCTAGACATTTGTGAATCTAAGTTTGGCCTCATTGAGGGGCAGTATTTCAATACGAGTAGGAAAATGAGAGTACCCCTAACCTTTTTTTTTAATAGAAAAAAAGCACTGCCTATAGATCTCAGGGTGGTTCACAATGTATTAATAAGAATTTAGAAAGAAATGAATAAAATCTAGACATTTAGAAATAATAAATATGTCTCACCATAGTGGGGAGGACTACCATTGTGCCTGCTCTGTCTGCTTTCTGATGGGCAACACCCAGATTATCTCACAACAGGGATATTCCAAAAAAGAGAGAATACAGTGGAACAGGGTTGCAGACGTAATCCGTGACGGAGGCACCTCCGCAACCCACAGCGTTTGCAAGCTGAAGCGCCGTGTCTGCGCGGGCACCGGTGCAATTTGGCGCTTCTGCGCATGTGCGAAGCATGATTTAGCACTTCTGTGCATGCGCGAGCAGTGAAACCTGGAAGTAACCCATTCCGGTACTTCTGGGTTTCCCACAGTCTGCAACCCGAAAACATGTAACCTGAAGCAAACGTAACATGAGGTATGACTGTATGAGAAAATGTGAAGGGAGGGAAGGGGAAATGTTGGAAGGCAGTGATTTGGAAGAGAGCATTATACGGACAATGGAGAATTAATGGAGATACAGGAAGCTTGGCTATTCACTTTAAGACATAGTGTGTATGGGCCCTTAGATAATCTACTAGGTTGAGCACACATTGCCATTTACTCTACAGGCATGGGAAAAGCCTTGTGGATCAGGCCACTAGCCCATTGAGTCCAGCTTCCTGTTATCACAGTGGCCAACCAGATGTCTGTGGAAAACCCACAAGCAGGATTTGAGAGCAAGAACCCTATCCCTTCCTGTACTTTCCAGCAACTGGTATTCAGCAGCATTGCAGTTTCCGTCTGTGGGGGCAGCAGAGCATAGCCATCTTGGACTTCTCCATCAATTTATCTAATTCTCTTTCGAAGATGCCTATGTTGGTGGCCATCACTGCCTCCTCTGGGAGTGATTCAATATGAAGATGGCTGCTAGGTAAGGAAACCGATCACATCCAGAGTTGGGCCTTCCATTTGCGGGAGGAAGATTAGAGCAACGAGGTCGGGGGTCACCTTGCTAAAGGTGCTTCAGTGTCACTCTGGATTGTAGGATGAAGGCTGGATCAGCTCAGGAGAAAGAGGCTACTTGCCATGACATATGGACCTGGCGGACCAGTTCCTGGAACCTCTCAACTTTCTTCCTCATTGGAATGGATTTTGCAAAGGTATTAATTTTCATTATTGTACGAGTTCTCAGAAAGGGCACATATCTCCTGCAACCAAGTTATTCTGAAACTGAATTTGAAAGAGGTGATGATGGTCACAGATGTTCAGAGGGTCCTCCGTGACATTCCATTTGGCAATCAGATGCAGAACACAAGCAGCAGGGTGTATTGTAGGCCAGAAAGAGATTTAGCTGATACTTCACTTTCTCACATTGAGTGAAACCCTGAAAGAGGAAGCTCTGCTTTGTGGGAGTTTCTCCTTTCAGCCTGTCCTTTTGCACGGATTATCCCCGCTGGAGGAGCATCACTGGGGTATCACTGGGATGAATGGCTGGGCCTAGGAGGGAACTGCTTCATGCTTCCTTAGGAGGAGGAGTGGCCCAGGTTTCCCTAAAGACCACCCAGGAGGACTCCCCTGCTCAGCGCCTGAGGGCCCCAGTCCTGCCACTCACCACCTGGCCCAGGACGGGGCCTGACAGGCCTATAAGAACTGCTGCTGCTGCTGGGCAGAGAGGGCTCCATTTTGTTTTTGTTTAAATTGCTGTTATTTTTTACCTGTCATTTTAATCTGTGACATAATGCTGTATTCTTAGTTTTAGATTTTGATTTCTGTGGAAACTGTTTCCCATTTGGCTGTGTGTTTTTTTTGATGTGGTTTATTTATTGTTTATGACTTTTGAAATTATTTAAATCTTGTTATGCTGCAAGCTGCCTTGAGCATTGTTTTTTAACTGTGGAAAGGCGGCATACAAATAAAAAATGATGATGATGATGGGGGTGCTTGTGAGACCATATGGAAGGAAACCATTCTTGGAGCCCATAGCTCCAACTTTCAGCCGATCACAAGCCTTCGCCCAGCGGTGCATGAGGGTGGGGGCTGGAGTGGCAACAAGGCTCTCCTGGAGACATGGCTGCAGGGAGACGGTTGCCAGATCAGAGCCCGGGTGCTGCTGCTGCCAACCCCAAATCCCGCTGTTCTTGCCACCCCTGTCCCAACTCAACCTCTCCAAAGTGCAACAAGCACCACCAAAATAACCCTGCTTCTGCTCCCTCCACCCCAAAGCAAGCCCCTCACGGATGCTGCTCTTCCTTGGTGGGCAGAATATTTGAAAAAGCAATGGGCAAAGATGTCATGCGACTTTCACTTTATTAGGGTTGCCATCTTCCGAAAAGCGAAACTGCTTGCAGCGGCATTAGGCTGGACGTGTCCGGGTATTCCGGACGTGTTGTTCCTGACATTCCTACATCGCCCTCCCCCGAGGATCACAGGGCCGTTTTCAGTATAAAAAACACAGAAACGTGTCACATAGTAACACACAGAAATAATAACGTTATCTCGGGGTGGGAGGGAAGTCTCTTTCTCTGCCTCTCCCCGCCTGGGCGGGGCTCCCGGCTCTCCTCCCGGGAGGCGGGGGCCGCCCCCTGCCGTGCACGCGGCGGAGTCGGGAGCGCGCCGGGCCCCGCCGCGCATGCGCTCCTCCCGCTCGGCGAGCCCAGCTGCTTCCTCGGAGCTGGAGGGGCCGGGCTGGCGGGCGCGCGCCTGGGGCTGCTGCTGCCGGGGCTCTTCGGGCGGGTGAGTGGCGGGGGCGCGCGGGGGGGGGGAGAAGCGGGCGCCTGGCCCCGCAGCCCGGGAGAGAGAGAGGAGCCGGTGGTTTCTCTCCTATCCTTTGGCCCAGTAGGAGGAGGATGCGCACTGGGCCTCCCCTGGCCGCGCGCCTGGGCTCCCTCTTGCTCCCAGGCGCGCTCTGCGTGTGCTCAGAGGCTCAGGATCCCCCTCCCCGCAGGTGCCCGCCAGGTGTCTTTTGCCTGCAGTCCAAGGCCTCCGCTTTTGGAGAGCGCCGGCTCCAGCTTTGCGCATCCCGCCCGGAGCCTGCCTGCCTGTCTGTCTCTCTCGTGGTGATGGTGGGGGTCTGGAGCCAAATCCCTGCTCCGGGCAGGGGGGGTTGCAGATGTTTCGGGTCCCTGGATGTGATGCAGCCGGGAGGGGACGCGCCTGGCCGAGGGCGCGGATGCCAGCACCTCCCTTTGCGCGCACGGGGCAGGTTGCCCGTCGAGGAGGCGGCTGCTCGCAGTTGCATGAAGGTGAAGAGGTGCGCCTTGCAGTCCCAGGAAGGAAAGGATCCAGCCTCCTGCTAGCATCCTCTCCCGGAGGAGGAATTCCCCAGGGCTCCTCCTCCTCCAGGGCGGGCTCCTTCCGGGCATTCCCTCCCGCCTCCCTCGGGGAGCTTCCCCGGGGAGGGCGCCCCAGAATTGTGGCCCTGGCAGGGGGGGGAGGTGGGCCAAGCAAAGTTGTTAACCTGAAGCACTATTTCTGGGTTAGCGGAGTCTGTAACCTGAAGCGTCTGTAACCTGAAACGTCTTTAACCCAAGGTACCACTATATATTTGGGAGAAGGAAAGGATAAGGAGTAGACTCTGAACAAATCCAGAATCAAGTCCCTAAGACAGTTGGATGGTGCTTTGTACGCCTCCTTCTGGAAACTCCTGCAGCCAAGCTGGTTCCAAACATTCTGCTCTGCGTTCCTTTGGACCACATCAGGGAGGCCGAGAGGAGGGTCTGGGCAGCCTAGGACTGCCGTACATACTGCCCAGGCTTGTGCCCCGTAGAGGTTACTTCAGTGCTGCTAACCTAGGAGTTTGACTTCATCCCCAGAGATGCTCAGTATGGTCTCTCGAGACAGACAGATGCCAGCAACAAATACCTGTCCTTTACCCCAAGTCCCCAGGGCAGATTGCAACATTAAAACACAATATTAAAAACAGTTTAAACCACTTGCCATCATGGAAAGAAGGTGGGTCCTAGCTGCTTTTTAATTGTTTTCATCTTAGCCCTCACCTGCACCTCCTTTGGCCTCCCTCACTTGGCCCTCAGGGGGTTGGCTAGCAGAACAATAACAGATATCTTTCCACAATAGACTATCTTGAGAACATTGGAGATTTGAAGTGCTAGAAAATGAGACAGAAGCAGGAAGTGAGGGCAGGCGGGAGAGCAAGTCTTGAGGACCCCCAGGGTTAGCACTCCCACTCTAGCCTAGTGTCCACATTACACAAGATACAAATAACTCGCTTGTCAATCACAGTTCTGAATTCATTCATTGACTGAAAACACTGAAATTGCCTGCACATTTTGCATAGTAACTTTCCTTCTAGGAAGGCTAGAGGATAGCTTCTCCATTTTCTTCCTTTTGTTGTTAAAGAAGGCTCAGAGTCTTGGCTGTAGTGTCGTGTGGGTCAGGTTCTTAGCAAGACTCGCCCACACTTGCTTATCTTGACCGTGTACCAATTCTGTAACAAAAACAATGCATTTGCTTTGTAGGGTTTGGCAGCAACTCTAATTAGCACAGTCAGAACTTGGAGGCTCCTGAAGGCTTCCTGAGAGCACAGATGGATGAGCAAGATTCATCTGGAACTGAAGCAGGAAAAGTCAGTGCCTTCAAAATTGGGAACAGATTCTGGGAAAACTCTGTGCAGAAGATCCTGGGTGAGGAGGACACTCTCTGCTCAGATGTGCAGAGCCAGCAGTTCAGGCAGTTGTGCCACCAGGAGGCTGAAGGACCCCGAGAGCTTTGCAACCGACTCTACCACCTTGACTGTCAGTGGCTGAAGCCAGAAAGGCACACGAAAGCTCAGATGCTGGACCTGGTGGTCTTGGAGCAGTTCCTGGCTGTCCTTCCGCCAGAGATGGAGAGGTGGGTGAGAGAATGTGGAGCGGAGACCAGTTCCCAGGCGGTGGCCCTGGCCGAAGGTTTCCTCCTGAGTCAGGCAGAGGAGAGGAAGCAGGCAGAGCAGCAGGTGAGAGAGACTTTCCTCTGGATACTCTCAAGGGCTCTGAACAGGAGGGTGAATATCCCAAAATTCTCTCCTAATGGCCCCCACCTCTTCTTTGAAAGTATCCAGAGAATGTTATCAGATACCCCTGAAGTTTTCGCCTCTGCCATTACTTTCCTAATCTTTCTCCTCATTCTCTGCTTTGAATCCTTGTTGCTCTTTCAGGAAAAGGATCTGTTTGCAGAAATGGGCCCGGATTCCTCTGGGTCAGAGAAGACTCAGCTGAACACCAGAGAGTTGACACTGGGTAAGGAGGAAGGAGTTTTTTCTCCGTTAGGTCTCATTTTGTGGATTTTAAAATTAATCCATGGGTTCTTTTAATCTTTTTGGGGAAGACAATTGGGGACAAGAGTCCTCAGGAAGGGAGACATTTCCCCCCACAATTAAAATATGAAATAGGTACAAACTTCAAACTGCACTCAGCAGGGGAAACATTTTCTAAGGCCTATTTCATATAATCATCGAGTTGTAGAGTTGGAAGGTACCCCAGTGCTATTGGTCCAAACCCCTGCAATGCAGGGATCTCTGCTAAAGCATCCGAAGTAAAGTATATATATATATATATTTAAATTGTCCAGTAGCACCTTAGAGACCAACTAAATTTGTTATTGGTATGAGCTTTTGTGTGCATGCACACTTCTTTAGATACCACACTTCTTCAGATACCGTATCTGAAGAAGTGTGCATGCACACGAAAGCTTATACCAAGAACAAACTTAGTTGGTCTCTAAAGTGCTATTGGACAATTTTTATATTTTTTATATACTTCAACTGTGTCAGACCAACACGGCTACCTACCTGATGCTAAAGCATCCATGACAGATGGCCATCCAACCTCTGCTTAAAAACTTCCAAGGAAGGAGAGTCCACCACCTCTCATGGGAGTCTGTTCCACTACTGAACAGCTCTTACTGTCAGAAAGTTTTTCCGAATGTTTAGTTGGAATCTCCTTTCTTGCAACTTGAAGCCATTGGTTTAAGTCCTACCCCCCAGAGCAGGAGAAAACAAGCACACTTCCTCCATGTGACAGCCCTTAAAGTATTTGAAGGTGGCTCTCAAATCTCTTCTCGGTCTCCTCTTTTCCAGGCTCAACATACCCAGCTCCTTCAACCGTTCCTCATCAGGCTCGGTTTCCAGACCCTTGACCATCTTGGTCTCCCTCGTCTTCCCCCCTTTCCAGTTTGACAACATCCTTTCTTAAATTGTGGTGCCCAGAACTGGACAAAGTATTCCAGGTGTGGTCTGACCAAGGCAGAAGAGAGCAGAACCATGACCTCCCTTGATCTGGACACTAGACTTCTGTTGATGCAGCCTAGAATAGCATTAGCTTTTTTTGCTGCTGCATCTCACTGTTGACTCATGTTAAACTTGTGGTCCACTAAGACCCCTGGATCCTTTTCACATGTACTGCTAGTAAGTCAGGTGTCCCGCATCCTATACTTGCGCATCTGGTTCTTCCTGCCTAATTGCAGAACCTTACATTTGTCCCTATTGCTATGAGCGCAACAACAGTCTGCCTTCTGAGAAATGAAATTGTCATTGAGGCAATGGAGGAATTTGTCAGACCTTACACTCGTGGCAGAGTTTGAGTCCCAGCAGATATCAGGGAAGTTAAAGTCCCCCAATATGACTATTATGGTTAGAGATGCACTGCTTCACCTCTGAGAAAAGCATTCACTAATGTCTTCCCACTTACCTTTGTCAGGTGACAGAAGGATTCCAGCAAGACCTCCGCATTCACCTTTTCATTGTGGTGGAGGGGAAACAGTGGCTGTGGAACCAGACCAGGTAGGAAGAAGGAGCATTGTGGGGAAAAGCAGCTGAGGAGTGGGGCAGCCCACTTGGGTCTAAATAAACCTCTGTCCTCCTTTTAGCTTTTGTCAAAACTGCCCTGAACATGCTATTCAAGGTTTATGTGCTGAGAATAATGAACAACTGCCTCAGTTTAACTTAACCTTCTGAATGTTGTAAGTCTTGTTTTTCAATTGTTGTAGTTTTGCTTATATATTTATCATTGGATGTTAAAATAGGTGTCTAAGCAGTTGAGAAGCCATAGAAAACAGTTGCCAGGGTTCCCTTAAACAGTCCCATCAGCGGCACAATGGGGCTTTCCCACTGTCTCCTCCCCCTCCCTGTGCCCCCCTGTGCTCCTGGAAGTTGGCTTTAGGGCATCTGGGGGTATCCCTCCCCAAACAGCACATGGGGAGAGGAGAAGAGAGAGGGAATCCTTGAGTCTGGCCAACTGGAATACCTGATTTGAAGAGCACAATGTGGAGTTCCACCCATTTGCACAAAGATTAATACCCATCATAAAAATACACAATAAAATAATTCTTTTAACATGTTACAACCAGCATCCATACTTAAAATGTGCAGCCAAACAATCCCATTAAAACAGCACAGCAAAGAGCAGGCAGAAAACAACAATGTGTAGAAGACAATCTTCATGCTGTCTGACAGCAAGACATTTTTCTTCTTTTAGGGTCTAGTATGCTTTGAAGATATAGCTGTTCATTTCACAGATGAGGAGTGGGCGTTGCTGGATCCTGACCAGAGAGCTCTGCATAAGGAAGTCATGGAGGAGAATTGTGGGATCATGAACTCTCTCAGTAAGGCTCCCTGTTGGATCATGATATCTCTTTTGGAATTCAATACGTATCTATGTAACGAACTTCCTGTATTTTGATGGAGCTCAACAGGGCCACCTATAGCACCTGCTTTTCTGACACCACCGCAGCACATTCAGAATGGAAGGCTATCTACTGTTTGGTCTGCAAATATTCTTCCATTTATTCCTTTTTAAGCAATGATTGGGCTGGTCTGAATTGCCTAGGCTTCAGAGTTGTTAGGGGAGTTGAAGAAGCTTCTGTCAGGTTTTTTTTTGTTTTTGCTTTTGTCGGTTTCTGATTGAGCAAAGGGATGACTGACCTTGGAAACGGAGCAGATTTCTTGATTGGGCCAAACAAAACCCATCCCAGAAAAGAGCTAGGCTTTTCAAACGAAGGTAGTGAACCCTGTAGTAAAACCTCACATATGATTCCCTTCGATTCTTCCTCTATCACAAGTGTTCATGAGCATTGCTCAGTAGTGGTCGCCTCCATTTCTTCCTGAGGCTTTAATCTGTTTATCTGTTTGTTGCAGATGGTGATGAATTGGAAATTAAGAAGAGGGGAGACCATGACGAACTCCAGCCAGTGGAGAATCCGTATGAAGTTTTGGATTCTGGAGAGAGCCTGAGTGAGAGCTCCCATTCTGCTTCCCATCAAATAAATCCCACTGGGAAGACACTCTATCAGTGCTTGGAATGTGGAAGCAGCTTCACTCGGAAGGAAAGTCTCACTTCCCATCAAAGAATTCATACAGGGGAGAAACCCTATCAGTGCTTGGAGTGTGGAAAGAGCTTCAGTCGGAACTCCCATCTTACTTCCCATCAAAGAACTCACAGTGGGGAGAAACCATATCAATGCCAAGAGTGTGGAAATAGCTTCACTCGGAAGGAAAGTCTCACTTCCCATCTTAGAATTCATACAGGGGAGAAACCATATCAGTGCTTGGAATGTGGAAAGAGCTTCAGCCGGAAGGAAAATGTCACTTCCCATCAAAGAATTCATACGGGGATGAAACCATATCAATGCCTGGAATGTGGGAAGAGCTTCAGTCGGAAGAAAAGTTTCATTTCCCATCAAATAAGTCATACATGGGAGAAACCATATCAGTGCTTCGACTGTGGAAACAGCTTTAATACAAGCACAAACTTTCATAATCATGAAAGTAGTCACCTTGGGGAGAAAACATTTCAATGCCAAGAATGTGGAAAGTGCTTCACCTGGAAGAAAAGTCTCATTTCCCATCAAAGAATTCATACAGGGGAGAAACCCTATCAGTGCTTGGAATGTGGAAAGAGCTTCAGTCAGAGTGCCCATCTCACTTCCCATCAAAGATCTCACAGTGGGGAAAAACCCTATCAGTGCTTAGAATGTGGAAAGTACTTTAGCCGGAAGGAAAGTCTCACTTCCCATCAAAGAATTCATACAGGAGAGAAACCCTATCAGTGCTTGGAATGTGGAAAGAGCTTCAGTCGGAAAGAAAGTCTCACTGCCCATCAAATAATTCATACATCGGAGGAACCATATCAGTGCTTGGAATGTGGGAAGAGCTTTAATATAAGCACAAACTTCTGTCAACACCAGAGAATTCATAGTGGGGAGAAACCATATCAATGGCTGTGTACAAATTTGATTTTAGAAGACTTTAATTAGTATGAGAGTAAAAATTGCATTAGTGTATTTGTCATTTGTCAACCCAGCAAAGAAGTGGACTTTGTCTTATAAAACACCCTGTGCCCGATATTTCTTATTCTGTGTACCCAGATCTGTGAGGTGCAAGTCATTGGCAAAGGTTTTGAATGTCCTCTCTGGGGAGAAGGTAAAGAACAATTTGGCAACACTGATGAGGCAGCCCAAAATGCTGTTGTTGTTTTTTTGAAAAGTTGACAAGCAATTCATAGTTTACAAATTTGTGGTGCTCCTGAGCACTACTTCCATCCTCAGCATGTCCGGGATGGCAGTGGTGTCAGCTTGAAGCTCTTCCTGGTATCTCCTGACCAGACACAGGACAGCTCCCAGGAGAGCCAGAAGTTTCAGGCTTCCCTCTGTGAGAAGGGTAAGTCGAGGATTCCCTTGCTGCTGTCCTCCTCCGATTAGTCAAAGTACATTCCGAGGGGATGCAAGGAGCAAATAATTGTTATCCGCGAGGAAGAATGAGTTTTGTGTTTATTGCAGTCAAAGGTGGTTGGGAGCAACAGCAAGCAAAGTTTATTTGCTTTAGCCAACCCCAGTCCTCACCTGCACACATCCGACACATGGACAAAGGCTTAGAGTGAACCCAGATTCTGAACAACACAACTCATCCCAGTGGCAGGTGTCTGACACTTTTCCCCATTCCATGTGGACATATCAACAGATCTTGACGAATTGGATTTTTTTTATCAGTGTCTCACATATATTCCTTGAGCAGGTGTCACTGTTTTACTTCTCCCCAATGTTAACTGAGACTCAGTCACAATGGACAAGGTATTTTTGAAACCATGCTGGGCGGCTGTGTCTCGAGTCAAGGCCTTGTGGTGACCCTCTGCACATAAGTCTGGTGCCCCACAGATTATTGGTTCTCATGCTCTTGCTCTTCTTCACAAGAATGGGAAACGATTCTGTCCAATGTATAACTTTGTCCATGTGTATTCTGTCTTCCAACCTATCACCTGCAGTCCTTCCCCATAGCTGTTCTTGAATGTGACTGTACTGTAACATTAAAATACTGTTCCATGCCACCCCTGTCTCCATAGCAGTGTGAGATTCCAGTGGTCTAGGCACTTGCCCAGATTCTTGTTTCCTTTGGAAATGAGGCACTTCAGAGACTGCGGTTTATTTCATAGACTCATAGAGTTGTAGAGTTGGAAGGGACCCCCTAGAGTAATCTAGTCCAACCCCCTGCAATGCAGGAATCTCAGCTAAAGCATCCGTTTACATTTAACCACTTCCAGTGTCTTTCTTTATTAAGACTTTGACTAGGTTTCCTGTTCATTAAATGTCTCCCAATACCCTTTTCCATCTGTCTGCAAAACAATTCAAGATTAATCCCAATAGCCCTGTCTGGCCGATTCTCTTTCCAGGCATACGGTGCCCACCATAGAGCCCATAACAATTTATTCTTTTCCGTGTTCTGGAACGGACGTTCACTACATGCAGTCCCTAAAAGCAGCTAGTTCTGTACTGTAAAAGGCAGGTAGAGACCTTTTCAATTTAGCTAGGCCATAAACCAAAAAGTAAATGGAATAATCAAAATGAAATTATTGTTTTCTCCAACATACACACACACACCGCTCACCAGAAAACCCAAACCAGTTGTAGTGTGGGATGTATTTACACTGGTGAAAGGAAATCTCTCCCTTTCTGGGAAAGGCTCTGACTGGGGAGAAACCTTCCTTACAACTGGCCTTGACCGGCTGTGAACTTCCGGTGTACTAGGTTATTAAGTCCTCAAGCCCTCCTTGTCTCCCAAGGATCCTCTGAAGACCATGAAATCCCCAGAGACTCCTGGCGAACCCTGCTCTCAGAGCGAGTTGGCCTTCTTGTCAGGATAGGATCACTTCTTCCCTGAAATTCCTCTCTGCCTCTTGACCTTCACTGTTCCCTTTTGGACTCCTGCTTAAAATATGCTTTTCAGGCAAGCATTTCTGGACGCATAGATGTTGATGTGTTTTAGTCTTGTACTGTTAATGTTTTTACTGTTTTTGAATTTTATTTAGCTGTTTAATTTAAATGATTTGTTTTTAACTGTTTGTAATAGATAATTTTAACATTTCCAATAAACTGCTGAGATGTTTTATTACCATCAAGTAGCATATACATTTTATTAAATAAAAATAAATTAATCCCACCCACCATGTTCTTACTATCATGGCTTTCTGCAAAGAAATGGGGTTCGTGACATATATACGGTAATCATGTTGGGCCAGAAAACCCCCCAATTCTCCCATCACATTGTGGATGCTGCCTAGACGCGGAGGTGCTTTCTATTTATTTCTTTTAAAAAAATGGAGGTGGGGGCACACTTCAGAATCTTCATGGGGATATTTTCACTGATCAGGCTGCTTTGATCAGCTTCAGCCCAGCAGCACCCCCAACTTTTTGAATCATGTTGTAGCATCATGCTCCGAGGACTCCATTGGGATGGGATTACTGCAGCCTGGATCGCATCGGGTGAGTCCGCTTATGTAGGGGTACAAATATCCAGAGTGTGGGGATCAGGTGGGGTCGCTAGGAGAAATTATGAAATATGAAGCAAGCCATTGTGTCCGCGATGAAAGCATTGCGTTGACTGGGTTTGATTCATTGACAATTTCTGATCGAATCCCACAAGCCTCTGCATCTCTGCCATTTGCTTTCTCTACGCCTGACAGGCACGTATAAGCATTCTGAAACACAGGCCAGTTGCTTCACCAGGCATCCTCAGTACATAAAGATAGTAAGTTACTTTGATGTAGTTTGTTAATCTTTAGATAGATCTTAAGGGCCAGGAAGAGAGTTCACAAGGAGATGGTATATACTGCCATCCTTCCTCTCCTGTTTATGACCTCTGGGGTTTTGCTGAATGCATTCCTCTAGTCCTGTTTTATTTACTCTCAGATATGTATGCATGCTCAAGTAGGAAATAGTTTCTTTGTATTTTTACTTTGTCCCCACGTGGTTTTTTTTGAAATGCTCAAAGGAAATCTGATTGGTTCTTATGAACACTGTGTAAAAAGTTCTTTTGTGAATAAAACGACCTGGGCCGAGGGGTGGAGAGGGATTATTATTGGCACCTCCTCCCAGAGTCTTGCTGGTCAAGCCTCATGTGTATTTTATTAATCAGAGTCCAATCCTTCCTTGCTTTGGGAATGCTACACACTTCTGAAGGTGAGTTATGTGGATTCCTCCCCCAGCCCTACCCTGGAGTGCTGGAAGCCACAGGAGGAGAGAGGGCTCTTGGGCTCAAATCCTGCTTGCTGGTTTCCTGAAATGGAGGTGCTCGGCCACTGTGAGAACGGTCCTGGCCTGATCCAGCAGGTTCATCTCATGTTCTGATGCTGCTGGACAGATTAGAGAATAGAGGGATAGATGGAGCAAAAGTTTTGCTTTGTGCTAGTAAGTGTCATAAGTTTGTATGTCTCCGCCATACCCCCCGCCACCCAAAGACACCTCAGAGACCGCTTTTAAAGAACAGATCAACTTTTATTTGAAGGATGTTTCATTAGTGTAAACGGAGAAAGCAAAGCTGAGATATCCAGGGCTTCCTTTGAAGGTACTGCTGGCACAAGCAGTAGCAAGATAGCATTTCTGCAAGGTCAGTTATATCAAGGGCTAAGTTGATGGACAGTATTTGTTGCATTCTTATTTATTTAAATAAGTTTATATCTCTTTTTTCCAGCATGGCTATTGATAAGAAAATGATCAGAAAGAATAAAGCGAGTGAAAACAGCAGAATATAGCAGTAAAAGCCTGTCTCAGGATAGATCAAATATGGCAAGGTGAAATACACAGCTAGGGCACAATAAGTCTTTGGGATTATGCACATTTTGACCTGCAATTTCTAGGCACAGGCCCATGCTTTCCTGGTTCATGTCCAAGCACTCCCCCCGCCCCCCACAGCTTCCCCCGGGGAAACCTGATTTTCACTATTGAGTTGGAGCAAACAGCAATTCAGGCTTTCCGTGGGCGTCTGTTTCGATTCAGCAGCAAAGAGCGGGTTTTCATGGGGAAAGTAGTGGAGCAAAACAAAGAAAAAGAGTTTAGACACGGACCTGAAGAGCCCAGGCCTGTGACTAGAAGTGAAGAGCAAAGGTGAGTGTCATCTTGCAGATGAGTAGCAGAGAATGGGCTGGAGCAGCCTTTCTGGGGGTTGCAATCTTGCCTCTGATTCTGGCGGAACGCAGAGGGGAGCCTCCCCAGTTCGTAAGCCCTTTAAGGCTTCTGAACTTATAACCTTCACTTAGAATTGGGCTTGGAAATGAATGAGGAGCCAATGCAGCAGTTGCGGCAAAGGGGTCGCATATATCCCAGCTAAGTAGCTCCAGTCAATAGGCTGGAATGTTATGGATCAGCTGAAGTTTCAAAGGGGAAAAAAATAAAAAAATCGAAGGCACATACAGAGAATGACTTCCAACCACCATCTTATGCTAAGGTGGGTACAAAGGACCCTTCTGCAGCCTATGAGGCGCTCCTTGAGAAGTTCTCCTCATCATGAGAACATCACACCACCCTATAACCCAGGGTTGGGACTGGTTGGGACTGATTGGAATGGAAGCGTCAAAAGGAATACCTTCTAAGAGTTTTGTTCCAGGAAAATGTAAGACGGAGGGAGATGAGATGCTGGGTAGTCAAAAGTAAGGGTGTAGTTTGGGAGTAACTCCCCTTATTTTATTTTATTCTAATTTTGGTTAATGGGGTGTTTGGGCATGACGGAAAGCACATCACCAGGGTGTTCCCCAGCCAACCGTCATCTCAATTTGCTCAGAGACCCAGATTTTCACCTCTACATATAAATCAGCATATGGAACTTGTATACAAAGTTGTGTCAATAGTCCAAGCGCAAAGCATTTTAAGTACCTACCTAAATGCCCCTCGTCATCTGCCAGGTGACAGACCTCAAAGCCAGGTGAGGAAATAGTGCAAATTTAGCTAAAGCAGCAAACATTACTGCTGCGGTTTTCCTGGGGGGAGAAGCAGCCCGGCAAGAAGCAGCGTGAATAATCTGGCAGCACCCCCCACACACATATCCCAACTCTGGTCTAATTAACAGCCCTATAACTTGAAATCACTACTGATAGCCAAAAGCAATCAGAGGGTGTGTGCGCCAATTTAGAAAATACTCCCTTATTTTAAACACTTGATAACAGCTGCCAGATGCCCGGGTGCAGATGGGCATCAGAAGCAAATAAACTTCCTAAATCTGGCCCGCAGGGAGGAGAACTTTTCTTGTTCACTTGGGTCGTACAGATCTTGATCCACTAGCAGAGGGCACTCATTGTTTACAACAGATTCCCTCACTTCCTTCAGCAATTGGATTCTCTCCTGGTATCCAGGCTTCAGATCCTGCTCTTCTGAAATGATGAGCAGGTCAATGTATTCTTGGGTGGAGAGCAGGTTGGGCTTCAACCCAATTTGATGCAAGCGCTGGAGGCTTTGAGATGATTTCTGGATGAGGTCTTCTAAGGCTTGCTTAGCCTCTTTGTATTCCTGGTTGAGATTTCCAAGCACCTTCTCTGGGGTCATCGCCTCTCCAGAGGAGTCTTCATACTTTTGCTTCAACTCATCATAGGACTTAATCTCTTTTGTTACTTTATATTCAAACAGGTATTTCTGATTGAAGTGCATGTTCCACGCGCAGTGGCCAGGACAGACATTGCATTTTCCCGTATTTGCATTGATAGCTACACAACGGCGCTTGCCCTCATCTCTCCGGATCGGGCAAGGATAATGGCAGGTGTAGTGACAGTTCATGCAATTGGTTGTGAATCTTCCAGAGGCAGAGATGTCTTCCTTCCCTGGCACAGATTTTTCTACTTCAAACTCAAAGTTTATGTTGACTGCTATATCAAAAATGTGTTCCTCCAGAGCTTGTCTCGTCTTCCTCAACTCTTCCAGCTTTCCAAGGGCAGCTCTGATTTGGGGCTGCAACCCTTCTGTGATGGCTTCTAGCTCCTTCCGTTCCCTGAGCACTTCCTTTGACAGAGTTAAACTTTCACTGTCTAGTAAGCTTAACGTGTCAAAAAATCTCTTCATGCTTGCAGTGCTCATTTTCCAGAACTTGTCATTAGGATTTAGGTTCCCTTCATTCTCTTCAGAATTGTTGGCAAACAGAGCTGAATTGTTGAATTTGAAGTGAACTGGGCTACCACTGGAATCTTTAATGCATGGCACATCCTCCTTCTTCATGGCTTCCAAAACAGGAAGAGAATGTCCATCTGCAAAGGTGATCAGGATCTGGATGTTGTTCCTTATATCTGTCCCAAAAATGGAGAGCACAGAGTCAAAGACGTATTTCTGGGCACGAGTTAAGGCAGCACTGGAGGCCTGAAGTACAATACAGATGACATCGACATGATCCGTTCCTCCCGGGGTGGAGAAAAACTCCCGGATCTGCTTTGTTATCCGTTTGTACTGCTTCCTACCTCCCATGTCTCCAAATCCTGGAGTGTCAATGAAAGTGAGAGAATAAGGGACTTCAAAACCTTTTTGGTGGTGTACTACATAGGCGGTCACTTCTGAGGACTGACTTCCAGCCTGAATGAGTTTGAATCGGAAATCATCTTCCCATTGCACACCCAGGATATGATTGATCATGGCATTGACGAGAGTGGTTTTCCCTGACCCTGTTGCCCCCATCATCACGATTACTTTGTTGGGGACCTGCATGTTCTCTTTTCCTAGCTGATACATTTGGACGGGGGCCGATCGATCTGAGGTGGCCTCCAGGGGAAGTACATACACGGATGGTTGCCCATCTTCCACCAGGGTGCTTTCCTGGAGGTATTTTCGAGCTAGTATATTTGCCCCTTCTTCTTCTTCTTCTTCCATTGCTGTGGAAATCTCAGTCTCTTCACTGGGCTCACTCTCAGCCCCATCAAAACATACAGCTGAGACTCTGAGTCTGTAGGTTCTGTGAGGCTTCAGCCCATCCAGCTGGCAGGACTCAGTTCTTGCCCCGGTTCTTTTTTCATTCCATCTGTCCTTATCGCCCACCAGCCCCCTGTACTCCACTTTGTACTCCTTTATATCAGTTCCAATGACCTTTGGTCTCTCCCAGACAAGACTGATTTGGGAAGACTCTACAGTTCTCTCTCTCGGTTTCCCAGGAGGGCTGGTAGGAAGTGTCTTTAAAGATCTACTCAAATCACTAGTCTCACTAAGTCCTGGTTTGCTCCTAGCAGTGTATCGGAATTGGTATTCTGTGTTTGCGCCCAACCCTCTCACTTGGAATGTCTCCTGACTGTCCTCAGTATTCACAATCTTCCAATTTTCTTCTCCTGCAATCTTGTACTCTACTTGATAGCTAGAGATTGAAGCCCTCCCATACTCAGCTGGTTGAAATGTCAGCTGCACACTCTCATGTCCAATTCGGCCAATCAGTGGAGGGAGAGGTTTTGAGGGCAGCTCAAAGTTGCTGTTGACCATCTCCCCATCTTCATAGAGATAAATGGTAGCTCCTGGGTTGTCCTGATCTGGGACAGAAGCCACAAGGAACCGGGTCTTCCCATTGGATTCATTGACTTGGGCAAAATCAACAATGGATTTGGCAGCTTTCCGAGCTTTTCTCTGTATGTCTTTTCGCTCAAACCAAGCATTCCACTCCTCAGGTGCATTCTGGACTCCTGTAGGATCTGCTGATCGTTTCTGAAGAAAGTGTTGTAAGCTGGTTAAAAATGGTTCCTTATCATGCAAAGAGGTGAATGTAAATGAGACAACAAATTCATTCTGGTGGTTAAGCACTACCTCTTCCAGTTTATTCTGGGAGGAGATGGTTTCTAACTCACTCAGGATATCAAGGTAAGACTTGACCATATTTATCTCTCGTTCCTTGGTGTCCAAAAATTCATTGAGTCTTTGGCCATTGAAGGGTGATTGATTTATGGATGTTAAGATGTCTACCAGAACTCTTTCCTCTTTCCCCCCTCCCCGGATCAAAGGCAAGATTCCTGCCAGATCTTGCTGGAAAGTCTGCCTGTGTTGCTTGCAGAAATCCTGGAATCTCTTGATTTTCAACTTTATTTCTGGGAAGGTGCTAGCAATGGGATTAGCAGCCAGATCATTGCATCTCATATCGATTTCGCTCAGTTGCTCCATGACGCTTTGGGCATCATAGATGAGTGCTAAGCTGATCTCACGCACCATCTTAGCTGCTTTGGAATCCAGCTTGGTCAGTGGGTACAGCCAAACTCTGACAGGCACAGCCTTGTCCCCATTGGTACCCAGCATTTTGGGCAGAGCAGTGTAGACTTTCATGGCATCTTGAAAAGTCACTGGATTGCTCTCCAGAGAAAAATCTCCATAGAACTTGCAGTTGAACTGACTTGCATGGTTTCTTTCCTGGTCGTTCATGTGGAGGGCTGCCTCGCCTTCAATAGTGACCATCTTCTGTATCATAACTTTGAGGCTTCCTTGTATGTCTTGCACGGACTCGGAAGAAGAGACATTTCGGTCAAACACAAAGAAAGCCTGGGCTCCATACAAGATGGCAGTGACAACGTGGGTGGCTGTGCCATGGTCGAAAACTGCTGGATAAGAGACATTTTGGATTCCCAAATGGCTCATGGTCAGCTGTGAATACTTGGTGGTAGCTTTGTACTGCAGAGTGACTCTGGCCTGTTGCTTGGACTGCTTGGTGTCTTGAAGGTACTTGGCTGACCCTTCCACTTTAACCATTCCACCCAAAAAGCTGGCCTTGAGCGATGCTGAGACATTGAGGGCAGAGGCCTTATCATCAATGGAGTCGGAAGCAATGATCTCTGATTCCGTCTTGGGCTGGGGTTTGATATCCAGGTCCTTCTGAAGGGAGTCTTGGTCCCAAAGGGTGATTCCTAGAATCAAACAGAGAAACAACCACACAAGGTTTTAGTGATGTTCAGATAAATATCGAGCCCCTCTATCCAAGACGCTTAAGCCTGCATAGGGAAATAATTGTGTTAAAAGTGGCCCCATAGAGCCATCGTTGCCCAGGATGGGGCACACATTTCTTTTCTCCCCTTATCATCCCCGGTCGAGCAGTTTTGTGCAGCTTTGTAAAGGTTTCCAAAATGACTCCTACGCTGTTTGACCAGAGATGATTCAGGATCTCGCCCACACTTTCCCTTGACCTTTATTTTAATTGTATCGTGTGCCAATTAATTCCACCAGGGTCCGAGAGCTTTTCTCGTTGCTCCATTGCTGTGATTGCCAAAACCCGATCTTAGCCACTGAATCAGATCTTATTAGATGCATGGATTAGATGCAAAGAGAGATTGTGCTGAACTGAGCTTCAGTTATTGGCTGAGAGGGGCTTTTGCAAGTCACAGCTGCCAAAGAACAAGAAAAGCTCTCAGACCCAGGGATCTGTACACAAAATATGGGTCAAGCGAAAGTATGGATGAGCCCTGATCTGCCACCTTCATCGCTCTCAGAAGATGGATTTGTTTCTCTTCATAGCTGAGCATAGGGAACCTCTCTCCTGTTCCCCGTTCTGATCTTCTATTTCAACCAAGAATACCTTTTTGATAAGCACCACTGCTGTCTGAGAACTTTGAAATCAGAGGTTTACCGAAGCCTGAGCAGAAAATTTTCCCAAGCCCTTGAAAATATCTAAAGCCCTTTTAGTGATGGTTCTCTTCTGTTTAGGAAGCGAGCAATATATGATGAAAAAAACTATACAAACCACACATGGAGGGCAGCGAGGAGTTGCTTTCTCTTTAGCATATGCTCCTGATGATGATGATGATGATGATAATAAAAAATAATAATTTATTTATACCCTGCCCATCTGCCTGGGTTTCCCCAGCCACTCTGGGTGGCTCCCAAAAGAATATTAAAAACACGATAAAACATCAAACATTAAAAACTTCCCTAAATAGGGCTGAGGGGCTCATCTAAATAGGGCTGAGGGGCCCATAAAGAAGGCTGATCACCGAAGAATTGATGCTTTTGAATTATGGTGCTGCAGGAGACTCTTGAGAGTCCCGTGGACTGCAAGAAGATCAAACGTATCCATTCTGAAGGAAATCAGCCCTGAGTGCTCACTGGAAGGACAGATCGTGAAGCTGAGGCTCCAAGACTTTGGCCACCTCATGAGAAGAGAAGACTCCCTGGAGAAGACCCTGATGTTGGGAAAGATGGAGGGGACAAGGAGAAGGGGACGCCAGAGGACAAGATGGTTGGATGGTATTCTTGAAGCTACCAGCATGAGTTTGACCAAACTGCGGGAGGCAGTGAAAGACAGGAGTGCCTGGCATGCTCTGGTTCATGGGGTCACGAAGAGTCGGACACGACTAAACAACAACAACAACAAATAGGGCTGCCTTCAGATGTCTTCTCCTTGACCTGATGGGAGGGTGTTCCACAGGACGGGTGTTACTATGGAGAAGGCCCTCTGCCTGGTTCCCTGTAAGGTTTTGTTCACACCTGAGCAAAAGGTGACCACCCTGGGACGTTTTTGCAGGTGAAAGATGATTCCTGAGGTTTGCATCCACAGGTGTAGCGGGACCCAGGAAGCTAGAAGAACCCTATGCTGCTCTTAGCCCCTTAGAAGCCTAATGGAAGAGCAGGTTGTTCTGGGAGCCTTAATGCTGCTCAGCTTGCACAGAGCCCATTCGAAGCACATGGCTTACCTCAAAGAATCCTGGGAACTGGTGAGGCCACCAATTGATGGGAGGACTTTGCAGGGAAAGGCACCTCAGATGGAGGCCTGGACCAGCAGCAGGCCCAACCTCTTGCGCCCCTCGAGTGAGGCAAAGGCTGAGGCCCACTGAGGTGCCCCCTCTGCCACCAGAGGCAAATTTAGGGGAGCATGGCCAGTTAGAATGGAGCACAAGAGAGGGGCCGCCAAATTCTGGTGTCGCACAGGGTGCCACTGAAATTTGAGACCCCAAGGCCCACCATTGCTGCCTGTTGAGCTGGGTGCCCAAACAAGGGTACGAAAGGCAGCGTCAACATCAGGAAGCCACCAAACACAGCTAACCCACATGGAAGCAGGTGGACCCCAGGATCTCAAGACCGCCTCTTCCCAAATGAACCAACCCAGACCCTGAGATCATCACCTGAGACCCTTCTTTGTGTGTCCCCTCCGCAAGAGGCCCAGAGGGTGGCAACACAAGAACGGGGCCTTTTCTGTGGTGGCTCCCAGTTTTTGGGATGCTCTCCCCAGGGAGTCTCGCCTGGCACCATCATTACATATCTTTAGGTTCCAGACAGAATCTTTCTAACCAGGCCTTTGGACTCAAGCTATCTGTGGCCTTTTAAAAGGGGGGTGTTTTAACTGTATCTTTCCCTATTGTTTTTCATGTATCTTTGTGAGGTTTGGGCAGGGCCGTCTTAAGCTTTATCTGGTGCCGTGATGCAAAGCTCCCTCCAGCGCCCCCTCCCCATTTCCCAGAGTTTTTTAGGGAGGACAGCACTGTCAGTGGGGCTGGAAGAGGCGGGCAGCGGCTGGAGGGCGGCTCCTCTGGCAGGGAAGAGGCGGAGGCTGGACTCGGCACCTCCCAGCTCAGCTGGCTGCTTCGTGCTCTGGTGGCCACAGCAGACGGAGGCTCTGGGCACGGTGCGGCGCTGCTTCGGTGCAGCATGGCGGAGGTGGGAGAGGGCAGCGAGCTGATGCTGGAAGGTGCTGCGTCCAGCCTCCGCCTCTTCACTGGTGCCCTCCAGAAATTGGTGCCCTGGTGACCCGCACCACTAGCCTCTATGGGTAAGACGCCCCCGGGTTTGGGGGTTTTTTAGTGGTTGTAATTTGCTTGGAGTTGCCTTGGGCTACATAAAGTGACTAACAAATTTAATAAACAATCATCACCATCATAAGTGATGCATCTTGCCACTAACACTGGTTTGTTGGAATAATCTGTATCCCCTCCAACATTTTTCCAATGAAAATAGGGACATACTACCATACCCTCCCATATCGCTCTCATGAAAATAGAGGTTTTTGACCTTTTTGAGCCCATGACTCCCTTGACCATCTACATGTTTAGCTGGTGATATATCACGATGTTGAAAACCAGACATCGCTCAGCCCAAACTAGGCATGGTTAAGAGCTCCATTCATTTCAATGAGTCTAACTGTAGTTGCAGTTGTTATATTTCATTTATTCCTAAGATCACTGAACAGGTCACAAAGCTGTTGACAGAACTATCAAAAAAACCATTCCATCGGTCCTATAACATGATATATAACACAATAAAAACCACACATTAAAGGACTGTAAAGGTTGAGATTTTGCCAAAAACTCTTTTGGATCATAGTTCAATTTTAATGGAGTTAAGAAGGACAGATAATTCATTGTTGAACGAAGGACTGTTGGAAAATCAGAAAATTATTGAGAAAGCACAAAAGACCCTAAAAGATTATTTTGAATTAAATCTGAAAAGAGAAACGGAGATGGACATAGTATGCCCTGTTCCAAAAGGGACAAATAATTGAGCAAGTGTGACATATATACAGTGGTATCTTGGTATTTAGATGCCTTGGTTCCCAAATGCTGAAACCCCAGAAGTGTTCCAGTTTGCGAACGTTTCTCGGAACCCGAATGTCTGATGCGGCTGTCGGCTGTTGTTTCCGGGGCACCTGCACCAATCAGAAGCTGCTTCTTGGTTTCCAAACATTTCAGAAGTCAAGCAGCGCTTTTGTTTTTGCTATTTATTTTGCGTTTTTGTTTTTAATAAAAGTTCCCCATCCAAACAATGACTATCATCGGTGCAGGTAAGAAAAAAATATTTTATTATTATTATCATCTACAATACTGTCTTATTTATTTTATAATACAGCACATTGATTATTGCTTTCATTTTATGGACCAATGGTCTTGTTGGATAGTAAAATTCATGCTAAATTGCTGTTTTAGGGGTTGTTTTTAAAAGTCTGGAACCGATTAATCTGTTCTGCATTACTTTCAATGGGAAAGCATGCCTTGGTTTTGGAACGGACTTTCGGAATGGATTAAGTTTGAGATCCAAGGCACCACTGTATGATACATTTAAATCAAGCCCCCTAGTCCTGGGAACTTCATTTTGTTATGGGTGCTGAAATTGTAGCCCTGTGAGGTTAGAAGACAGCTCCCAGGATCCTTTTCGGAGGGTGGGGGCGCTTTATGTACCTAAAGTCTCTCCGTATTTCATATGCCACATGAAATACCATTTTCTGCCCCAGATGTCCCACCCAAAATGATCTCCCCACCTCTCTGCCAGCTTTACCTGGGATCAGGGAGTCTTTGCGGCAGTCGTACAGCATTCCCAGCTGGAACGGGCGGCCCAGGGCCGGGATGTCAATCGTGTTGTCTGTTCCCGCCATGACTCAGGTCACGCTGCTCTCCCGCTTTCACTTCCCTGCAAGAAACAGGAGCTGTGAAGGAGCCAGGGCAGACTTTGAAGCACGAGGAGGACTAGCGACAGCATCAAAAGAGGGGCACTAGCAAGGCTGGAACAAAAAAAGGGGGGAATGTTGCATCGTGAAATAAGATGCTTATTTCAGCGGGTGGTGCTGTGGGTTAAACCACAGAGCCTAGGGCTTGCCTATCAGAAGGTCGGTGGTTCGAATCCCTGCGATGGGGTGAGCTCCTGTTCAGTCCCAGCTCCTGCCCACCTAGCAGTTCGAAAGCACATCAAGGTGCAAGTAGGTAAATAGGTACCACTCTGGCGGGAAGGTAAATGGCGTTTCCGTGCGCTGCTCTGGTTCGCCAGAAGCAGCTTAGTCCTGCTGGCCACATGACCCTGAAGCTGTATGCTGGCTCCCTCGGCCAATAAACGAGATGAGCACCGCAACCCCAGAGTCGTCCGCGACTGGACCTAATGGTCAGGGGTCCCTTTACCTTTACCTTTACCGAAGAAGATGCCAGGTGGAGCCAGCTTGTTTTCTGCTGCTCCAGAGGGCAGGACTGAACCAGAGGATTCAAATGGCTAAACATTATAAAGTAACTTTGTGAGGGCGAGAACGGTTTGACAGTTCCCTTGGAACCAATTCCCTTGGAAGACTAGATTTTCTTTCATCTGGGTCAAAGGCTCAGTTTGATACCCCCCTCCCCATGTTTGCACACACATGCACACCTCAACACCTTTATGTTGGGTGTGATGAACCTAAAACATGGCCAGTTTTGAGAAAGGAGAAAAGAAAAATGTGCTAATGCCTGTGGTTTGAAAAAGGCTGAAGAAAATATAGTCTATCCAAATAGTAAAAAGTGTGTGTGTGTGTGTCTGGCTTTCATTCAGCCTTAAGTAGATCTCCTAACAGGGTCATGGGTTCAAGCCCCACATTGGGCAAAAGATTCCTGCATTGCAGGGGGTTGGACTAGATGACCTCGTGGTTTCTTCCAACTGTATGATTCTGTGATTCTCTTTTACTAAAGCCGGGGAGCAATCTGGATCAGGGCCCTGGCGTTGGCATGATGAAGCTGGCGTACGAAGCCCTTCCTATAACGTTGAAGGAAAAGGTCACCGCTTTGCATTCTGCAATTGCGATGCCTCAGCAGCCAGGCAAGTCTTGGGAAATGCAGGGAGTCTTGGTTCCTTTATTGTAAATGGAGCCTGACACCGTCTACTCAGTGGAGCTTACTCCCAGGTAACAGGGTCAAGAATGGGCAGCCTTACAACTGAATCCAAAGCATTTAGACTCCAAACTAAGTCCCACTGAGTTCTATAGGATTTACTCTCTGCTATGTTCTAGATCATGATCAGCATTTCTATATCATCATCATCATCATCATCATCAGGGCTTTTTCCCCCAGCCAGAACTCACCTGCACTTCTCAGGTGGGCACCATTGCCATTATAAGAGAACAAGGAAGGTGTTCACCTCTTTTTTTCAGGAAAAGAGCAATTATTATTATTATTATTATTATTATTATTATTATTAGTGCTTTTTTCTAAAAAAAATGTTTAGGGGTATTCTCATTTTGACTCAAGAAAATCACCATTTTATACTGCAAGTCAGGGGAAATAAAAACAGTAAATGGACAAAAGTACAAAGATTCACAAAATGTTTAGGGGTATGTGTACCCCTGCATCCCCCAGAAAAAACCACTGATGATGATGATGGTGTTTACTCACCTTTTCCCTGACAGGGACTCAAGGCATCTTACAGCTAAAATCATATTTCATTCCATTTATCTGTTGAAAGTGTTGTACACAACCTTTTCCCCTGTACATTTTTTCTTTACAACAATCCTGGGAGGTAGGTTTGGCGGAGAGGTTGTAATTGTCTCAAGGTGTCTCTATTTTCACGTGAGAAACAAGGAGGGTATGAAAGGAGGGCCTGCGATCTGATCTGATCTGATCTGAGTTCCCCAGCAGGCGCAGTCCAAAGAGGGTCAGGGAGATACTTGTTCCTCGGTCATTTAGGGCTTTGAAGGTCATAGCCAACACTTTGAATGGAGCTGGAAGCAAAGTGGTGACCACTCATCGTAATTTGGGAAACTTTTAGGCAGGATTGGAGCGCAAGAGCCCTCTCTCCTCCTGGTGGCCATCACAGCCCCTTGTGGCAGGGAGTTCCATAGTTCTAACTACGCGCTGCCCTGAAGAAAGTGCCCAAGGGAGCAATATTCTGCCCCGCTGGCTTCTCAGCAAGACCAGAGTTCCTGCAAACATACATTGCAGGAAAATGCCGCTGCAGCGAGGGCTGGAGGATATATCAATATATCGTCCAAAATGGGTTTGAAGTCCCTGTTGTGATATCGGTTTTCGTAATCATGACATGCATGTGTCTAATGCAAAAATCACAATGTGGGGAAAACTGTGAAGCCAGCCAATGCCTTTAAATAGGTCGCTCCACCCTTATTTCAGGCATTGTGATATATTGGTATATGGCAATATTTAGCTGGTGGTGTATGTGGGAAACCAGATATCTCTCAGCCCTAGCTGCAGCTGCAGTCATTAAAATGCAAGTTTATTTTTTATAATTTTTTTAATGAGTTTTTTGGGGGAAAATTATACATATAAAACAAAACGATTTCCAACATTGCAATACAGAGTTCTTTCGAACCCTTAGACATCCTTCCCTCCCTCCATGGATTCCATCTTTAAGATTACATTCACTGCGTCTTTTACCCTTATCTATCTATTATATAACAATAATTACAAAAAAAAATAAAAAAAAATCCACACATGTCTTTACATCCCTGCCAAAGTATTTTAAATAAAATACAAATTTACTCCTGTCTTTAGAAAATAAAATGTTCCACCGTCGCTCCTCCAAGGAGCAGGAGGGGAAATGCCAGAGGGCAGCAGTGGGGTTAGGAAGGCACCCCAGACTGAGACGGACTCTTGGTCCATCTTAGCCCCCCCCCCCCAAGCCTGGCACAGATGGGCACATTTGCTCCAAGTGGGGCCCAAATCAGGGTGATTTGTTGACTTAAAAAAAAAATCCATGAAAAAAATTAGCTGGTCAGAGCAACAGCTATTTATTTACTTAGATATGTATTCTGTAGTTGACCTCCTTTGTAATGTTTTATTCTGAAATCCTGAAGATAATATTTTAGTTTTCTGTTAATTGTGTTGGTTTGGCTGTATGCTATATTTGACTTTCTTCAGATTGTTTTATTGATGTTTTAATATTCTGTAAACCGCTTTGAGATTTTTCTCAAAAATATAAAGTGGTATAGAAATGAAATAAATAATAATAATTTAACCCTTTTTCCTCCAAGGAGGCTCAAGGCGGTCTGCATGCTTCTCCTGTCTCCCCTTTATCTTCACAACAACCCTGCGAGGAAAGTTAGGCTTCATGGCTCAGTGGGGATTCTAGTCCATCACTCTAACCATTGCCCCACACTGTTGGTGTCCTCTTTCAGTATCCCAGATTGAATGGATAACAGCCGCCACACAAGAGGAACTGCTGCAGACGCTGAGCATTTCTAAGCAATACTTTCCCTCCGCCTTTCAGCTACTTACCAAGGCTGTGGAAATCAGAGGAATCTCCTGTTCGCCTCAAGATTTTTTCGCGTCGTCTTGAGGAAACCTACAAAAGATGTGCGTCTCCTCTTTGGCCCAAGTCTGTTTCAAGGCACACAGACCACTTCTCCTTTTATCTGGTTGATAATGAAAGTTTACGTGTAGGCAAAAAACATGCCTTGCATGAGAAGGAAGTCAAGAGATTGTATGAACTAGTTGCAGTGCTCAGCATTCTGCCCTCAAAAGCCTCTAGCGGTGATCTCCCCACCAGGATGGGCCCTGCACTAGGGAGTACATGCATTCGTGGGGCACTGTTTCCATGTGGCATCCATGCGCTTTGGGTTCCATTGATCCAAAGGAAAGGATGCAGCCTCCCTTTCTCCATTGAAGGCATGTTTGTAGTACAGTGGTACCTCGGGTTACAGATGCTTCAGGTTACAGACTTCACTAACCCAGAAACAGTACCTCAGGTTAAGAACTTTGCTTCAGGATGAGAACAGAAATCACGCAGCGGCAGCGGGAGGCCCCATTAGCTAAAGTGGTACCTCAGGTACAGCTTTTATCTGGTTCTATGGGAGGCAGAGATGGCAGCCAACCTAGATGGCTGGAGTCCTGTGAGTGCTGGAGTCCTGTTACATGGGATCAATTCCAACCTGTTACCTCCGAGGATGTGGACAGGCTGCTTGGACGAGTGAAACCAACCACCTGTCTCCTTGATCCTTGCCCATCCTGGCTTATAAAAGCTAGCCGGGAAGGACTGGGCGATGGGCTTCGTGGGGTGGTGAATGCTTCCCTCCGTGAGGGAGCCTTCCCAGACCCGCTGAAAGAGGCGGTCATTAAACCGCTTCTTAAAAAAACATCTTTAGACCCGGCCAGTATGGCCAACTATTGCCCAGTCTCAAATCTTCCATTCCTGGGCAAAGTGATTGAGCGGGTGGTTGCTGAACAACTCCAGGCACGCCTGGAGGATGCGGACCATTTGGATCCCTTCCAATCGGGATTCAGGCCTCATCATGGGACTAAAACTGCCTTGGTCGTGCTGGCCAATGATCTCCGGCGGACTAGGGACAAAGGTGAGAGCTGTTTCCTAGTTCTGCTGGATCTCTCAGCAGCCTTTGACACCATCGACCATAACATCCTTCTGGACCGTCTTGAGGGGCTGGGAGCTGGGGGCACTGTCATACAGTGGTTCCGCTCCTTCCTCCTGGGCCGTGTTCAGAAAGTGGTGGTGGGGGATGAGTGTTCAGACCCCTGGGCCCTCACTTGTGGGGTGCCTCAGGGTTCTGTCCTCTCCCCCATGCTTTTCAACATCTACATGCATCCACTGGGAGAGATCATCAGGGGGTTTGGGCTGGGTGTTCATCAATATGCAGATGATACCCAGCTCTACCTCTCTTTCAAATCAGAACCAGTGAAGGCAGTGAAGGTCC